ACTTCCGTATCATCAGATTTCACGGGTGATCGTGAAAGCGCATCTGCGTCAGAGTGCTTTCGCCTGATCGGTAGACGACGCGTATGTCGAATTCCTGGAGGCGTATTGCCCAACGTCCGAGACGACCAGAAGGATCTTTAAGTGAAGCCAACCAACAGAGTGCGTGATGCCAGTTACTACATCAAAAGTTTTGCCGTACAAATAGGGGCGAAACTCGTTTAACGCCCACACAATCGCCAGGCACTCTTTTTCCGTAACATAATAGTTGGCTTCTGCCTTAGTGAGGGCGCGGCTGGCATAGGCGACCACATACTCCGTAACACCTAGTTTGCGTTGCGCGAGTACTGCACCAAGGCCGACGCCACTTGCATCCGTGTGTACTTCGGTCGGCGCAGTAGGATCGTAATGACGCAGTACGGGTGGTGAGGTAAGTACTTGGCGCAGTGTTGCGAAGGATTCGTCACAGGCTGCTGTCCAATTCGAAAGATCTGCAGGGCCAGCAAGGAGTCTGGTGAGCGGAGCGATGATGGAAGCAAAGTTCCGGACAAACCGACGAAAATGGGAGCACAGGCCCACAAAGCTCCGTAGTTCTTTAACTGTAGTCGGCTTAGAAAATTCGGCAACAGCACGAAGCTTGTCAGGGTCGGGAAGGATGCCGGCTTTTGAGACGACATGACCAAGTATGGTGAGCTGTTTAGCCCCGAAGGGACATTTTTTCACGTTAAGCTGGAGCCTGGCGTTTGTAAGGCACTGTAGAATTTTACACAGACGAGTGAGATGCGAAGTGAAATCGGGTGAAAATACCAGAACGTCATCAAGATAGCACAAGCATATGTTCCATTTGAGACCGCGTAAAATGCTGTCCATCATTCGCTCGAATGTGGCGGGCGCATTGCAGAGTCCGAATGGCATTACGGTGAGACCATCCGGTGTGACGAACGCCGTTTTTGGACGATCAGACTCAGCCATTGGGACCTGCCAATAACCTGAGCGAAGGTCAAGCGAGGAAAAGAATTCTGCATCTTAGAGACAATCGAGAGCGTCGTCTATGCGGGGAAGAGGGTAAACATCTTTCCTCGTTGTTTAGGCACCTGTAGTCTACGCAGAACCGGATCGAACCATCCTTTTTTTTTGACGAGTACAACTGGTGAAGACCAAGGACTACAAGAAGGCTCGATGACTCCATGCTGTAGCATGTCGTCTACTTGTTCTGCAATTACGCGACACTCCGCCGTAGACACGCGATAGGGGCGCTGGCGCAAAGGAGTACTCTTCCCTATGTCAATTGTGTGCACAACGGTGTTCGTTCTTCCTAGCACCGCTTGGGGAAAGTCAAACGAACGCCTGAATTCGTACGACAGGGTAACAAGCTGCTCTCGTTTAGCCGGGGCTAGATGGCAGTCAATAGAACGATGAAATGCATCGGACGACACACTGTTCGAGGCAAAATGAGGAACTAACGCGTTCAGCTCCATATTCGGCTTGGTGTCGAAGAAATCGGCAGGCGCGATAGTACCTTCATCGATAAGCTGAATGTGGCCGAGCGTCTCGTTGCGGCGCAAACTGAGGGGGCACGAGTTCGGATTGGAAATAAATATTCCGGTAGTGTCTTGACAAAGTGCAAGAACGGCGAATGGCAGCGATGTGTGAAGGCGGCTACCGAAGATGTCAGAAGGCGTGAATAGGACGGTAGCGTCAGAAAGTGAAGTGCAGCAGGCAGAAACTAACTGGGCGCTGAAAGGAGGAAGGTCTATGTCCGTCGCGACGACAAGGTTAGCCACACTAGATACGGTCGCATCAACAAAAGGCGCATCACCAAACAGCTCCACTTCGGCCCGAGCGCAGTCCACGACGGCGTGATGACGTGATAAGAAATCCCATCCTAGGATGATATCGCGGGAACATGAACCCAACACGTGAAATTCAATGGTGTACAACACGTCTCGAATAACCACTTTTCCGTGCATGCCGCGACGGGCTCAATTTGTTGGGCGCTCGCAGTGCTAAGAGAAACCACGGGAGAAAGCATCGTCACTTTACGAAGAGAGCGGCAGAGTCTTTGACTAATCACAGATATCGCGGCACCGGTATCGATGAGTGCAAGTGTTCGTACACCTTTATTTATTTATTTATTTTATTTATTCGAGTACCTACAGCGCCCTATTTGGGCATTACAGTAGGGGGGAGGAGACATAAAACTTGAAATTGATACAGGGTATGAATACCGATAACAAAACAAGTAAGCATGCTCAGCTTATACAGTGTGTACACATTCTCGGGAACACGAGGCAATCAAGGAAAGTAAAACACAAACAGAAATGCAGACAGAAATTGGCATGTTTCATTTCAACAAAAATTGTGACAGAGCATTTTGAAATGAGGGTGGCGGGGTGGATACAATATATTCTGGTACCTTCGACAATTACATCAATAAGATTGGCGGGAGACAGGCGAGGACTTGAACGATTAGACGATGACGCAGCTCGTGCCTCCGGAGCTGCGGCAGTTAGTTTTCCGTCTCAATGGAGGTGGGTCGTCGACGCATAGGCGATACAGAACGACGACTTGTTGAAGGGGAAGGCGAGCGGGAGGCAGAACGTCGAGAAGCGGAGGTTCGGGTGCTGGAAACAGCTTGCGCGTCGCGTTCGTGAACTTCAGGTGGCACGTGAGGCGCGTGGCATGGAGGCCGAAACGAGTAGTCAGCGTATCTTGGTGCATTAACTGCGAAGCGCTGACGACATAGACGTGCAACGTGACTTGGAATTCCGCAAAAGTAACATTTGGGCCGGTTGTCAGCAGTGCGCCAAGGATTTCCGCCGTGCTGCTGTGTAGCTGGAAACGGCGCGGTGGACGGTCGCACAGGTTGTGGCATATACAATGGCCGATGAGGCGGAGGCATTTATGCGACAGCCGCATGAGTCAGTGGCGTGGCAACAGGTGTTGGTGGAGAGGCAGTCGTAGGTAATGGCAAAGCCTCTGAGACCTGCTCCTGAATAGCCTGTCTGATTGTCGGCGTTAGGCGGTTCGTTGGTGCTTCGGTGTTCGGCGGATACGAAAGACACGAAAGCTGTCGGGCGACCTCTTCGCGTATATAGTCTTTTATCTGCTCCGTCACCACCAACGGCCAAGGCAGCGAGAGAGTCGTCTGCTGTCGTCGACCTCCGAACTGACGCACGTTGTTTCTGAATCTCTTCCAAGCTCTGGCACAAGGTCACAAGTTCGGATACGGTACTTGGGCCCTTTACCAGCAACATTTGAAAGGCATCATCGTCTATTCTTTTCAAGATATGCCTGATCTAATCTTGTTCAGTCATCTCAGGGTTAAAGCGCCGGCATAAATCGATGACATCTTCAATATAGCTTGTGAAGCTTTCGTCCTGCCTTTGTGCTCGTCCGCGTAGGCGCTGTTCAGCACGCAGCTTGCGCCCTGCGGGGCGATCGAACACAGCTGCAAGGGTGGTCTTAAAAGCGGTCCAAGTGGTAAATTCAGTACGGTGGTTTGTGAACCACATGCTGGCGACGTCCTTGAGATAAAATGGGACGTACTCCAATTTCGAGGGGTCGTCCCACTTGTTGGCGGCGCTCACCTTTTCTAACAGCTGCAACCAGTCTTCCACATCTTGGTCCTCGGTGCCGCTGAAGAAGGGGGGATCCCGTTGGCGCAGGGTGGTAAGTACGATGACCAGTTGAGATTGGGCCGTGCTCTGCAGGGGGGTGCCTTGCTCGGTCGTCTGATGAGGCATTGCTGATGCAGCGGGCAGCTTCTGGCTTCGAAGTTCCAGGTTTGCGTACCCAGCACACTTCCACCACTTTGCAAGGGAGTTTAATAGCGACGCCAGGTAGTAGGCAGGCAGCCGGTGCGGACAGAAATGCTCGAGCTGTCCAGCGTCTACAGCTCGTGCACACACTCGCGCTTCGCACTCAGAGAGAGATGGTCCCACTAGTCAGTGCCTTGCAAATTCCCCACTACACTAGACAGACCTTCATTATTTAAATTACTAATTAGTTTATGTCCAATATCTCTTAGTAGAAACCTTGAATGGCACTTCGTCTAAAGACACAGTAAATTCCGCTTAGTTACGTTGAATAGTTTCGCCGTACTCGCAGTACAACGGAGACTTATACAGCGAAAATACTTTTGTTGCTCACACTTTTCTGTGCTACTAGGTAACGCTTCCGACCAGGTATTAAAATGAAATGTCATTTAAAAGAGGATAATAAGCTTTCTGAAGTCGCCCAATTCAGTTTTCTTTGTGAAGTGCAGCAAGGCTCAGTGCATCCGCAAACAATGCGTAAAAGGCGGAGTGGTTGCGGCCGGCGTGGGACCGCCACCGCACTTTGGTTGACAACGAAGTACACTCCACGAGAGCGCGCCTTGTAGCGAAAGAAACATCGTGCCACGAGCGCGATCATCATTCTCCTCTTCTACCGGCGCGTGCAAGCATCGGTGGGAGAATGCTCGACCCTAAGGTGCTTTCATCGACGATTACGAAGCGCAGCTTCATGTTGGGGCAACTATACGATCCAAGTTCTGGCTTTCCACAACATACGCCACAAAGCACAATTCTTTTTGTGAAGCAGGACTGCAGCCGTCTTTCTGCAGATAAGCGGGGTAACCGCTACACGTATAATGTGAACTATGTTGATGCTGCGCATGTGACACTTTGCATTGGGTGGCGATGGGTTAAACCACAACTTCGTTGCGCAATCAGCATTGTGTGTTAAGTGGTTGTTATTTTATTCTTCTGCCATGTTGTGTGTATATGTTAACGCTATTACTTACGTGACATGCCGCCCAAAATAGCGTTGTTTGCAAATGAGTTCCAAGCGCCATAGTGACTCGTGTAGTAGAGAACAGCCTAGTGCACGACAAGTGCCCGCATTGAAATCACATGCGATACTGCAGGGTATCGTCAATCGGTTACGTTATCACCGACGCTCATTGTAGGCTAAAATCGGTCCTCCTGCGCAGGTGACGACTTGCAGACAGTTCAGCAGCGTGTGTGAAACTAGACACGGACACATGACAATTTTATTTTGTTGAGCAACAGTGCCGGTGCACGTTGGCGCTCTCTTTTGAACGACGAAGGTTGTAAATGCTATTTGAAATGGTTTCCCTCGAGCAATCAACTCCGTTCTGGGCTCGCAGTCTCAAGGCAGCAGTAACTTTACCGAAATGGGTCAGCCGAGATAAGTGGCTGTGGCCCCAAGTCAGGGACCCTCTGGCAACGGCCGCTCGCTGGACCTAAAAGCTGTGGCCCCGAGTCCGAGCTGTCGAATTACGCCCCCCTCAATGCTCCGCATTTTCGGTGGAGACGAAAATAATTGAGGCCCGCGTGTACTTCGATTTAGGTCCACGTTGAAGATTTCCGGAGCCACGACGTTCTTCATAATCGTAGCGTTGTTTTGGGACGGTGCGCCACGCTGCCACTCCTCTCCACGAAGGCCTGCGAAAAGAACATTGCACTCACTTTTCAACCACTTCCTGGCCAAGTGCACGAAACTTGCTTTTCGAATAAGCACCCTTTGAGGTGTCTTTTTGTACACGCTCACTTTCGAGTCACGTGCGCGATATCAGCATGGCGTAGCGTACAGGAGACACAAAAAGACTCCCTAAAAGGTGCACCTCTATTGACCGCTCCATCTTTTAGGGAGTCTTTTTGTGTATTTCCTGCAAACTCGCTTCTTTCATGTCAAGGACGATACATGATGCTGATAGCGCGCACGTGACCCGGAAGTACCGGGCGAGTGCGTACAAAAAGACACCTCAAAGGGTGCTATAGCGTGGAGATTATTCGAAAAGGAACACTTGGCAGTATGGCCAGTATTACATATACTGTCCTTACGATGCATAATGAACCGCAATTTCTACCTGGAGAAGCGCGCACTCGACAAATAAACAATTACAGAACTCCCGCGTTTAGTACCACTATAGCAGTGCAAATAGTGAATTTCAGAGCCGAATCTAATAAGTATAAATAGTGATGAAATCGAATAGATGTTTTCGAATAACATTTCTGAGAAGAATCCGATGACTGTTTATTTGAAAGAAATATGCGCAAACTTTCAGCAACGATCACAACAATTATTAAAACTGTGGTGAGCTTTTGTACATCAGCGACTTCGGAATATTTTGTAACTATGCGTTGAAATACAGCAGTGACTACAGTACTGAACATAATAACTTCGTCGCCAGCTTCTAAATAAAAATTGGGATATAACAACCGAAGAATTCTGAACCGCACATAATTAAAGATGTAATGAAACAGATAAACCTGTCATCACCACATGGGCCTAGGAACTGAAAGCGCGTTGATATCAATGTTTAAAGATGTATCTGCTAGACCAATTTACGCATATGCAATATACCTGTGCCTGTTGTTATTCATGAAGCTTAATGCAGCCATATATACTCCCCACCTTCAGTTGTTACAAGATGAAGACAGGAAATGGTTAATGCGATCATAATAAAAACCGAGTTAGAGCGAAAATACTTCATCTGGTAATTGTTATAGCGTCACTAAATACTTGTGCTGCAATCATATTATTAAATTGTGGATTAAAGTAAGAAAAGTGACGTTCGGCTGTTTTAAGGCGTCGTTGCTTCGAGGCTTTTGTGCTAAAATATTCGTCATTTCGAATGTATACGTTTCGATTGTAGCAATGAACCGAATGGAATAGTTCGACATTTTTCGGATATTCGCACAAACCAAGCGGGACACCGAAAGAGATAACTCTCTGCGCCCCGTGTGGTCGGACTTTCATTTGAAGACCGTTTTTGTTTGTAACTTGACGTGGCCATTTGAGACATCAAGCGGTGTGTCAGAGCATTGCCATCGCTGTGCTGACGTGTGTAGTATATCCTGAGCAGGAAAATGTGTTTTTGGACGCAAGTATTTATTTTCTGTAACCGCTTGGGAAGCTGCGCGAACACTGCCCCGTGACGCCGGTGTCCAGACATCCGTGATGATGAAATCGATCATAAATAGCTGTTCACAGTCTGCACATACTTACAGTCTCTTAAAGCGCAATTGTGTGCACCACTTCATTTAGCTAATAATATCAAGGGCTAAGAAAGCAAAATAAATCGAGCTTGGATAAACTGAACCTACTGCATCACAAATTTAATTTTACTCATTTAACACAAGCCATGTTTATTCTGGGCTTCTCTGGAGTGATTAATATCACCTGGGCGTTTTCTTTTTTTGCAGAGCAGGTGGAGAAATTGTCATCGTATTAATTAACTACATCTGGAGACGAACACACATGGACAGCATTACGATTCGTCTGGTTCATCGGATCGTACTGAAAAAAGACTAAACTGAGCGAGAAGTCAAGACGAAAAGACGGAATGTATACTAAACTTAAAGTGTAGTCCAATATGTGTGTTTCTTCGATTAGTCCTAACCAAATATGGTCAATCTATTAGGTTTTGTAAGCTCTTCAGTTTCCCTCGATGGTCTCGTATTTTTTCTTATTTAACCACCAAGCAGAAATTAAGACAAAACGGCAATGCTAGAAGCGAAGGATCAATCCATTACTCTTTCGGAGTCCTTCCATAATCAGGAAGTTCCGTATCGTATAAATATTTCAGGGTGCGTTGTTTACGCTATAATCAAAGCATACTGTAGCATACTTATGCGTCAGCATCATGTCGGTTATTCTCATTCAGCGCACTAAACGATAATCAAAACAGGATATACCTATGCTCCTTCGCGTTGCGTGCTGGACCATAGCTGCTAAAATCCGCATCACTCTTCTCTTTGTGTCCGTCCGCTGGATCAGCTCTTCCCCCTACACGATGCACGGTCTTAGGCGAGTAAAATGTTTTTACCACAGACTGCAGAACTGTGAGCTGATTTCAAGAATGTGCACGTTATGCAACGAACAACCTCTTAGAAACATGTACATGGATCATTGAAATAATCTGTTTCTGTCTGGGGAATCCAGCAGGAGGCTTAAGCTTTTTCGTACAAAACAACAAAGTCAGCCATATTTTCTGGCTCTTCAGGGGGAGGGGGGTGGTGGCTGAAACTGGAGGACCCGGTTTGTTTGAACCCTGGAAAAGCAGCCCCCGGTTGCACCTGGTGTCTACAGAGTCGGCCAGCGTGCACTCACGGCGAGCGCGTCGGGCACGGCGATGGTGGAGACTCCCGCGCGTTCGATTTCCTCGCTCTGGTGGCAGAAGCAGAGGAACAGCGTGTCCAGCGTCATCTCGTAGACCGAGAGGAAGCAGTGCGCCACCAGGAAGGAGAACAGCGCGCCCGCCGTCAGGGGAGCCCACGGGCCCCACAGCAGGTAGCCCGCCTTGGCCTGCGGCGGAAATTCGGAGAGTTACTCTACTCTAGAGGAACATGTGGTTGGTGAAGAGCTTCATTCGTGGCGAACACACCTCGGTGAGCCTGTGTCCGGCGAGCGTTGTGCCGGCGACCACGGACGCCTTGGCGAGCAGCAGCACGAAGTCGCCGACGCAGTTGACCGTAGCCACGCGTAGGGCATTGCGCGACAGCAGCTGCCAGGCCTCACTTGCAGCACGACAGAGGCTGTAGCCGCGGGCAGCTGCAATAGCGAGGGATACCGTGCAGTTCGGAGGCAGCTATATCGGGTCACGCGAGGGGAATGCATCCAAACAAGTACAACGCTAATTACACGCTTTCGAATGTTAACTCGCTAGAATAAGCGCGCCAGTGTTATATGTGGTTGCGGCGCGTTTGTAGAAGCCAGTTCATGCAACGCATATAGAAGAGTACGCGTGTTGAGTCGATTTTCTTTGCGGAGACTCGAGTTTTCTCTCGCCGTTAACGATGTATTATGCAGCGCTTGCGCTTATTGCGGCGCAAATACACGCGAAAAATAAGGGATTAAACAAATCATACGACTGAGAACTGTGTCGGCTTAATAATCTGCAAAGCTTACACACTATCGAGCCACAATCCTTTTCAGCGGAATGCCAATTCTGCGCGCAGGAGACAGATTATATATGCTACAGGTAGTGGCATAGAGCCCCGTTGGAAGCGCCAGTGCGGCGGCCTCAACCAACGGAATAAGGATTCCATCGCCTTTTCTTCCATTCCCCTTTTACCCTCAATACAATTAACATCCCCATCCGCCAAATCCTCATCGCTACGTGTAAGGCGTTTACGCACCGAGCATGATGAAGGCGTTTCTGTTGAGAAACCTCAGTGCCGCTATGCTGCAGCACGAGCAGAGACAGCAGGCTGTTTTCTTGTCGGGCTTGCGACGGCTGGCGAACTTGCAGGCTAGCTTCAGCACTCGGGCGATGGCGACGAGCAGCGAGCCCAGAAGCACGGAGCCCAAGTGGTAGCGCATCAGTCGCCACAGACTGGCGCACTGCGCCGACCACCCGGTGCCCCTGCACAGGTGTCGAGCCCGCTTACCCACAACAGAGACGCTCACGTCATGACGGATGATGAGCAGCGCGAAAATGCGGAATTACAGGTAAATCTACACGTACACCATTCAGCGCGTAACTTGTACACTGTGCGCCGCGCCCTCTCCCACAAGGGACGGGCTGTGTGCACACGGTACGGCGAGAAGGGCGTTTTTAAGGAGGAAAGTGCAGAAATGTTAGCGCCGTACGGAAACGGCCCCTCGAGTAGGGCTACATCGATATCTACATAAATCTATTTCCTTCTGGACGTTGCCCTAGCGTGGCTTGCTGTATAGCGGTTAGCGTACACGCATACTGATGCAGCCAGTTCAAATCTTGGGTGTTTGCTGTAAATTTTCTGAAATTTATTTCTGAATGTGGTGCCTGTATGTCGATTGCACATCTAATGAAATGCCTGCACAAACTTAAAAATGCTGGTTTAGTCAACTAAGACCAGCTTTCTTTTTTTTCGCGCAAAAAGTTGCTGCTCCCTATATCGGGAAGGAGTAAAGCGCCTTAACACGGCAACAGCGAAAGGAGCAGCAGTCTGTCCCTTCGAAGTTACCACCGAAAGGGAGGAATGACTGTGGGAGGTTAATTACTCCCCTGAAAGAGATCTACCAACGCCTCCTAGATTTTCTGTGCCTGTCGGATGAGCGCGAAACGCCGGTCATCTATGACGGCGATGCCTACGTAAGGGTAAGGGTCTTTGTACTTGGCCTTTGAGATCGGAAATTTTGGCGTTTGTTACTAATTTCAAAGGATACCTTGTATTAAAAAAAGTTGCTTGTTGAATGACGGCGTCACTTACGTAGGGTTAATTATAATTAAGTTTACAAAACTTTTTTACGTTATTTTCGTTGCATATAAGCTCCAAAAACGTAAAAACCTATTTGAAGACACCCCTACTTGAGTGGCGCCATCACCATAGTTCCGACGACCGCCGCTTCCCAAGTGACCGCCGATAATCCGGCAGGCATGGGAAATCTAGGAGGCGTTGATCTACGTACGCGTGTCAGCGCGTGGCTTTTTGGCGTGACGTTGCGTCCTCCTTCTGTACAGGGAGCGGTGACGCGTCATAAAGCGCTGCAATGCGTACGTGTGGTAGGGCCTTTAGGGAGAGAGGTAAGCGCGAAGATTCGTCTCTCTCCATAGGAAGAGGGCGCGGCGGCAATTTTGCTCGCTACGCGCTGACACGCTGCACGTGCGCGTTTAAGGGAGGATCGAGGAGTTCCCGTTATTCTTTCGCTTCCTCGGTCAAACCTTGCCGTTCGTGACCTGGAAACATTGCTCGAAGCCATCGCCTTCAGCGTGTCACATGGACTAACCCGAATATCAACTCCGGCAGTGATCACTATATATTATTCGAACATCTCGCAAAGGGTACATCGACTACACATCGACACAAAAATGCATACCCCCAAGTTATCACCTGATACGTCTTTCACAACGATTGATGCCCGACTTCTTCGTGAGGTGCTGGACAATCTCAAACTCTGGAAGAAGAGGCGACACAATCGGCGACTGAGGCTGAAAACTGCGAGGCTCCATTTTACAATTCAGGAATATACTACAAAGCTCGCCTGCCAACAATGGGGTCCGCCTCGGTGTATCAGTGGCTAGGGTGCTCAGGTTGAAGGTGGCGGGTTCGACTCCGGCCGTAGCGGTCGCATTTCGATGGAGGTTTAGACCATTCAGATGGTCTAAATTCCTGGAGCCCTCTATTACGGCGTTTCTCGTAATCGTATCTTGGGTTTGAGACATAAAACCCCACATATTTTATTATTATTATTATTATTATTATTATTATTATTATTATTATTATTATTATTATTATTATTATTATTATTATTATTACAAATGGGGCAAAATGCCAAAGCATGCATGGCTACCAAGACAGCAGGAGAACGTGGCAGCGGCGTTTATTGGACCCTGTCATATCGTGTACCACCAATTATCATCACATATTAACACATTACTTCGCTCCCGAACAAAGATGACCTTTTAATTATCTCCGCGACAACCACCAATGCAAGTCACCTGAACGCCAAATGATCATCTCGCATAACGGAGAGGGAGGTTAGACGCGTGCTTGCGAACCTCACCAGTACCTGACCTCGTCAATAACAACCTAGATTACAACTCAATTGTAGCCATAGTTAATTTTTTTAACCACTGCCTTGATTCCTGTGCCCTACCAGTTGCGTGGAGGCACGCCAGAGTTAGTTTCACACCTAATCCTGGTAAGCCCATAAACAAAGCCAACCTACACCAGATTTCCCTCACTTCATGCATTGGCAAGGCACTTGAAGACGTCATTCTCAACCGTTTTAACAAATTCATAAAAGAACACGACTTGTATACCCTCACGAAAGAATAGGCTTTCGCACATCCCTATCCCTCCAAGATGCCATGCTTCGCCTGAAGCATGACATCACTATCCCTAACTTTTGCCTCGATACTCAAGTAGTTCTCAGTCCCGACCTCCATGGGGCAACGTCAGCCACACCGCCATACCGAGTCAACTGAATGCTATAGGCGTTGGCCAAAGATACATAATTGCACATCTACGTTCCTTTCGGACTGCGCGGCGACTATTACATTGTCTGAATATTCTTGCTCTTACTCCACGCGGCACACCTCAAGGACCAGTGTTATCCCCTCTCCCTTTCAATCTTGCCATGAAGCCATTGGCGAGATCCATAGCAGATCTAAAATTTTCACTTTGTGCAAAACACATTACCCTCTCGATGACGGTCCCATTCAAGAGACCCCACAGACTGCCGGTAACATGAGTCTAGTCTGTTCATTCAACTGCTCATTCTCCCTGCCCATGGGAAAAGCACATCTCAGATATACAAATAACACTGAACAACACGCCCGTACTCAGGCTCTGGGTGCTTCGACTACACATACAATGAAGTTGACTAAACACACACACACTATTAAATCACTTCGGACAACTGTAGACCACACTCTATAGCCTTTCAGGAAGGATATCGCACGGCGGGCTACGAGAGGCAGAGCTCCTCCGTCTCGTCCAAGGCTTCGTCCTCAGTATGGTGGCTCTTCCTCATCTGTACCGCGTGAAAATGTAAGAAAATGAACACCCTGTTGCGCAAAATCTACAAGTTCGCTGTCGGACTACCCATTCGAACGTCCACCGAGCGGATCATGGATTGAACTCCTTAACCGAAATTATTGAAGCTCACTTAACCTCACAATATGCCCGTCTCTCCAGCACTCAGACCGGAAGGTGCATACTCGAAACTCTCGGGCCAACTGCAACCACTCAAATAAAACACCCTATTTCGAATCGACACACTGCCATAAGAACATGCACCCTGCAGTGCGCACCCCGAGCAACGGCGACGACAGCGTGCAAGAACTCTTGAAAAACGGTTTTCTCCTTCTAGAGAAGTGCTGTATACGTCGATGCTGCCGAATACAGTACACGTCCTTTTTCCGCCCTCTCACTTGTCAACTCGCAAGGTCAGATACTGCTGAGGCGGAGGAAGCAACCATTGTCCTTACAATTCTAAATTATTCCCTTATTATGAGTGGCTCAAAAACTGCCATCTATACTTTCGGAGCGGGGCAGGGTGTCTAAAACAGCCCTCGCCCTCCTAATGGGCCTTGCCGGTAACAAAGGGTCCAGGCGCAAGCGTTGGAAGAGTCAAGCTCCAATTCGACTACGGCACCGTGTGCTGCGCGGGATTGCCATCTAACGTTTTATGACATCTGCAACCACTATATACCGCCTCGGCCGTTTAACCTTACCGCCACTAATAACAACATTCCCGTGCAAGTGTACTGTGGCTACATATGCAGCAACGCACCTTCCCTCTCGCTACCTTTTTCACTTAAAACACCGCTCTTTTCACCCGTCCTCCTCCTGTAAGTATTGCTCCGCAAGGAAAGCAAATCTTATTCATATCGTGTTCCGCCGAGAAGTATCGAGGAGCAGTGGGGGGCTGCTTTGCGCTGCTTGATACCCAACGTCCAGGAGGGCATCCTGGGTTAGACAGAGAGGGTTGCGGACCATCTCCATTTCAGCGAGAAAAATAAAGCTTCTGACTACCCAGCTCAACTCACACGGGCTGATAGTGTACGTGCGCATTCATTGCCGACCATCAAGCACTCGGGGGAGGTGGTCCCCGAGCAAACCTGGCGCCAATGGCCCCCAAACTACGCTAAAAATGCAAATATCGCGCTTCGTGGCTCCACAAAGTGTTTCACGTGACATGGTATACGGCGCATATACAAGGAGTGTCAGTTGTGACTTGTCGTCTGCACTGCTTTGCCACGAAGACACCCTTGCGTTTTTTTCTAGCCGCTTGAATATCGAGCGCGATTTCGATTCGTCTTGTCTGCTTCCGACTGCGCAAGCGGAGATAACAGCCGACAAACGCGAAATGTGCTGCCGTTGTAAGTACACGCTGTTTTACGACGAAATAAGTGGCGAGGATGAAATAGAGCTCGAATGAAGGGCAAAAGAAACCGCTCCCTCGTCTTACAACTCGGAGTGGGCCCTGCGAGCTGAATGTCGATTAGGGACGGCAAACTTTTCACCTGCCTGTAGAAGTACCAGTCTGCCGCGGCGCCTGCCACCACGACCTCCTGGCAACTGACGGCCACTTGGAGCAGCCAGCACAGGGCCAGCAAGAGGTACCAGGGCCCGAGGCGAAGCAGCGAGTCCTGTCTCAGCAGCACTGTCACGTCAGCGCCTTCCTTGGCGACCGCCGCGTCACCCGCCGTCAGCAGAACCAGCATCGCGACTGCTCCAGCCGCCCAAATGACCGCGCAGAAGCACAGCGTCTGCACGTGGAAGGTATAAACAGACTCCAGCAGTATTGCTTTAAATGTGGAGCATTTCTTAGTCGCACGATGTCGCGCTCCGGCGCTGTCCCACTGCGTATGATCGCGTCTCATGCCGCATGCACCGTGCCGGCCCAGGAAGACACCCGCATATCTGTCACTCCCCTCGCTCGCCTCGCAAGGCCGACGCAGTCTGCTCGCGCTGCGCAACCGTTCTCTATGTAGGCACTGGATCACGCGTTCGGAATTCATGGTTTCATCGATTGGCAGATTCGGAGTGGCTGATGAACTCTGCGCCGGGGCACTATACACTCTGACAACAACAGCGAATCCACCAATGGAACACATGCGCTCCCTCTGGAGCAAATGGCAGGGTTCATTGGCTGCTATTTGCTCTGGAGCAAATGGTGCCCAGTGAACGGTTGCGCAACATGAGCGGTCGTTTTTTTTTCACTAGCAGACGCTGCCTGCGTCAGCCTTGCGAGGCGAGAGAGGAGAGGGAAGTTACAGTTTTGAGGGTGTATTTAAAAAATGCATTTAAATATGCTTTCCATGACCTTTTATCACTTTTGGTCACGCGGTAACTAAAAGCTCCCTTGTGTTATAGTTATTCTACGCACTATACTCGTGCACTAATCTACTTGAAGGCGAAAGCCCAATTTTTCAAGTAAAATTGGCAGATCCCACGTACAGTGGGGATCGACGATATGCGAAACGCGAATGAGGAAGGGTGATAGGTCAGTTTAAAATCAGCACAACGTTAAGAGGCGGAGGCAAATTATGCCGTACATGACTTCCATGCCATAATTATAATGTTTGGACGTTTCATTTACCTTCATCTATTAATGTCACCTGACACCAACTTTGCTATATATAAAGCTAGCGAAACGGCCGCGAGCGCGCTATGAGCGTAGCATGTAGTTATGTTTTACATAGAATCCATATCATGATTATCTTGTTTGGACGTGTCATTTACAATTATCGTCCATTCAGGTCACGTAATACAAAGTTTTGTATATGTGGAACTAGTGAAACGGCAGCGAGAACACTATGAGCGTAGCATGTAGTCATGTTTTACATGAAACGCATATTATGATTATCAGGTTTAGACGTGTCATTTACCTTTGTCATCTATTCACTTCCCGTGATACCAAATTTGGTACATGTGGAGCTAGCGCAACGGCGACGGGCACGTCATGAAGGGCCCAATATACACCTTTTCATAAACGCCTCCCTGGGCGCCGCCATAGCCCTCCCTGGGCGCCGCCATAGCCCTCCTTGGGCTGTGCAAATTGGCGCGTCCCCTCGAAAATGCACTGGCAACGCTGCGCCCTTAGTCTTTGTACTCCCGCGCACAGCCCATCATGGCGGTGTTTTTTTCCTTCCTGTTGAAAAGGTGTATACTCCGACGCAACGTGGATGCACGCGCAGGCTGGGCGCAGCGACGCCACGCTAGCAAAACGCGAGCACTCTATAGTGTGACGCCAGGCGCGACCGGCGCGAAATGCGACATGCTGCATTTCGCGCCGAAGACGTTACTTAGACATCACCGCGTCTGCCTCTCTTCGTGACGGAGAGACGCCGCGCGCCGGCTCAAGTCGAAATGCATTGGCGCCTTGAGTGTGACGTGTATTAACGTTCTTACATGGCACGCATCTCATGATGATCGTGTTTGCACCAGTCACATACCTTCGTCATCCAGTCACGTGACGTAATACTAAATTTTGGCATATGTGAAGGTACCGAAACGGCCGCGAGCGCATCATGAGTGTGGGACGTAGTCATGTTACATGACACACATGTCATAATCATCATGTTTGGACGTGTCATTTACCTATGCCGTCCATTCGCGTCACGTAATACCGAATTACGTACATGTGAAGCTAGCGAAACGGCCGCGAGCGTATCATGAGCGTAGCATGTAGTCATGTATTTACATGACACGCATCTCATGATTATCATGTTTGCACGAGTCACGTACCTTCGTCATCCATTCACGTCCTGTAATACCGAATTTGCTTCATGAGAAGCTAGCGAAACGGCCGCGAGCGCATCATGAGCATGGCATGTAGTCATGTTGTTACATGACACGCATCTCATGATTATCATGTTTGCACCAGTCACATACCTTCGTCATTCATTCACGTCCCGTAATACCAAATTCGGTATATGCAAAGCTAGCGAAACGGCCGCAAGCACATCATGAGTGTGGCATGTAGTCATGTTGTTACATTACACGCATGTAATGATTGTGATGTTATGTCGCTTGTGTTTGCCATGCAGTCATGTCATGCCATACCAGTTTTGCAACATATCATGTGAATGAAACCACTGCAAGAGCAGCAAGACCATGACATGTAAATCATGAAATTTATGACATACATGTCATGATTTTTATGTTATGACTAGTCAGTTATGTTTGTCATACAGTCATGTTATATCATACCAAGTTTGGTATCGATACCATTATCCAAACGGCCAAGAGAGCTACAAGTAGACAGACAGACGGACGGACACGCTCAAAGTCGCCGAATTTCGCCAAGAAATGCTTCGCATTGAATAATTGTCGGTGTTTGGCGTCTCAGAACGACCACGTAGTGCAGGGCTCCGGAAATTTCTACCACCTGGGGTTCTCTAACGTGCAACTAAATCTAGGCACACGGGCCTTGAGCGACTCCATCTAAAATGCGGCCGGGATTCGATGTGGGTCAGCAGCCGTGTGCCTTAATTTTTTTCTTTTTTCTAGTCGATGCTTAAGGGAACATTTCACGTGGCACTGTTTTGTTTGTTTGTTTGTATATTAGGCAATAGAAATATGGGAAGAGAGAGAATAAAACATTTATTGGTAATAACATGGTCGCCTCCCACTCGACTACTGTAGGATTATGATGGGCCGATATATAATAATAATAATAATTTTTATTTCCATCAGCGATGGAGGAGACTGCGGGTAAAAGTTGCTTGAAGGCACAAGCAACTTGACAGAGGCCCGCAGCCACCCCTACAGTGCAGGCAGCGATGGCAAACATTCACATAAAGAGAAAAAAAAAATCACAAGAAACACATATTCGGAATACAGATATGTCTAAAAAAACACATCAGTAAGGAAGAATGAAAAAAAGCAATATTTTACACTATTTACTATGTTAGCATGAATTGATGAAATGCTCGCGCAGTGTTCGTGCAGAAGTTATTTTCAATTCAATGTGTAATTTATGAAATGAATTTAAAAGGGTTGGCAGCGTGTATGATAGCTTCTGCATAGAATAGCTTGTCCGCGCAGTGACCACCTTCCACTGTTCTATGTAACGAGTGCCGTATGAATGGGTGTTTTTGGCAAGATGAGATAACTCGTGGAAAAACTTTAGGTTTTCTTTTATCTCTCGTTTGAACGCTATACTTAACTTGTAATTGTATAGGGTAAACACGCGGATGACATTTCCCTTCAAGAATAAATCTGAAGTATGGGAATTGTAGGGTACATTGAAAAGCGCCCGTAGAAATTTTTTCTGCAGTACATGAAGTCTTTCAAGATTTGTATATGTCGTCGTACCCCATACCAAAAAACAATAATACAAGGAAGAAAAAAAGAGCGCATTGTAAACAAGAAGCTTTATTTTAAAAGGTAATATCAATCTGTGACGCGCCATCATACCAACCACACGAGATAGCTTGCCTAAAACTGATTCGATGTGTAAATCCCAAAGCATATTTTGTGTGAAGGTAACTCCCAGTATTTTCACACTACTCACTATTTCTATTGCTTCATTTGTGTAAAGAAGGGTGATGTGATCGCAGGTTATCTGCTTAGATTTTGGTCTGAAAATCACGGCTTTTGTCTTTTTAGTATTAATTTGCAACTGGGATTGGGATATACTGGGATTATTTTTGCACTCCCAGGCCATATGGAATAAAATGGCCGTCAGGGATAGAATTTGCACCGAAGGGTCTGTCGTGGACAACACATGATGATGATTGTTATCATCTCCACATCTAATTTAGAATCAGATTGGCACATGCCCACTCTGGAGGATCGGCCAATGGTAACTGCACTATTGCTTGCCAACTATAAATTAATGTGCCAAGCGCCATTTTCTTTTCTTGAAGTCGCGCGCCCTCCGTTTTTTTTTTTTTGCAGCTCTAATACGCTACAGCAACATTCTGTGGGGTTACATCATAATGACGTCATTTTTCGATCTGTGACGTCATGTGACGACGTCATCGCGTGCCCGACGCTGCACTATGGTTGAATTCCCCGTTTGATGTGGCATCGAAGGCTTTCGCCCTAAGATCAGGTCATAATTGCGATGCACTCACTTAATGCCATAGAAGCCATCTTGGGACGTCCCGCCACGGTGGTCTAGTGGCTATAAGGTACTCGGCTGCTGACCCGCAGGTCGCGGGATCAAATCCCGGCTGTGGCGGCTGCATTTCGGATGGAGGCGGAAATGTTGTAGGCCCGTGTGCTCAGATTTGGGTGCACGTTAAAGAACCCCAGGTGGTCGAAATTTCCGGAGCCCTCCACTACGGCGTCTCTCATAATCATATGGTGGCTTTGGGACGTTAAATTCCACAAATCAATCAATCAAATCAACCATCTTGGGACATGGCCGCCGCTCGCAAAACTGGGGCGCTGCGTATGCAGCTGGTGAGCCATGATGATTGCATGATGAGCCAGCGCGCAAGGGACACGCCCGCTTGTGTTCGCTTCATTTTTACGTGAAGACCACCGACCTTGGATGGCACGGTGGGCCGTCAGACCATCATCTTGTGCGTCTCTGAAAAAAGTTACGGCAACTCGCTTATGGGAGCTGAGGCGTCTTCCGTTTAGAGGAGCTCGATTTTAAACGCCGTGGGTACGCAGGACGTCAAATAGAATTCGTGTTGACATTGAAGAATAGACCGCCCACGCTGCTTCAGCTACTCTTCGTGTGACACAAACCACGATATAATCATGACACCGTGGCTCCGGAAAATCTGGTGCGCCGACATCGCACAGTGCCCCATCATTTCGCCTCCATCGACCGCCGCGGCCGGGATCGAACCCGTGACATTCTATAGCCATCACCGCAACACCGTGTTTACATTACAATTAGTACCACTAATAGCATACCCTTATACTTTTCTTAACATCGCTGTCTGCCAAAGAAGAACGAGCCCTTCATTCACAGGCAAAAGTGACCGCTGGGCGGGAAAAGACTGTGGGAGACGTACCCAGGCTGGCTGCAGTAGCAGACCTGGCATGGCGGTGAGCGCTTTCCCGGCCTCTCCGAACAGAGCAGTCACCTGGAAATACGTGTTGCGTGCGAAGAGATGTAATAATGACTGTTGGTGTTCATTTAACGATCCAAAATCAGGGACGCCGTAGGATAACGTCCACATACGCGCGGACCACAAGCGCTTCCTTCGTAACTGCGGACGCCGCCGGTCAACAGTCGCGTAGAATGACCAACGTGGCGGGAGATCTTTTGAAGCTAGCATATCTGAGAGAATTCATAAGTCTTTGGGTATTTCGGCCAGAATATGATGCGAAACAAGACGGATACTTGGGCTAGTTGGAATCAAGATATCTGCAAGGCGCAAGTAAAAAAGTACGAAGACATATGGACAGAGAATAGTGCTTACATCAACTAAATTTTATTAGCAAGAACGCTGTAAATATATTCGAATGATAGCAAGCACAGTACATTCGCGCAACCCATCGCATACAACAGCACACGATCTGTTGCGTCACAGTCGCATTTATTTTTCATTGAGCGCAACCGATAACACACAGGTCATCCAGCTGTTGCATTTGATTAGCCTCGATAATCTCGTGTGTTAGCTGCTGACGATGCTTTGCGACAACGGTGCACTTTTCATATTTCGGTTTGCAACCACAATCTCTGCAATGAATGCCCAGATGGCCTTGAACAGTTGTCTTTACACCATAGTGATACATCTCTAAACGCTTCTTCAAGCATCTACCCGTTCGTCTAACATACATCATCATCATCAGCCTGACTACATCCAGTGCAGGACGAAGGCTTCTCCCATGTTCCGCCAGTCAACTCGGTACTGTGCTTAATTGCTGCTGCCACGTCATACCCCCAAACTTCCTAATCTGATCTGTCCACCTAACTTTCCACCTCCCCCTCACCCTCTTGCCTTCTCTTGGAATCCACTCTGTTATCTTTAATGACTAGCGGTTATCTTGCCTTCACGCTACGTGTCCTGCCTATTGACACCCGTTTGTTCCCTGGCACACTCTGTTTCTACTTGTCCCTTAAGATTACACCTTTATCATATTTTTTTTTCCATTGCTCGCTGCGTCGTCCTCAACTGAAGTTGAACCGTCTTTGTAAACCTTCAGGTTTTCGCTCCGTAGGTAAGGACCGGTAGATGCACCTGCTGTATACCTTCCTTTTGAGGGATAGTGGCACTTTACCATCCACGATTTGAGAATGCTTGCCGAATATGCTTCAACCCATTCTTATTCTTCTAGTTACTTCAATCTCGTTGTTCGGCTCCGCGGTAACTGCCTGTCCTAAGTAGACGTACTCTTTCACAAATTTAAGTGCATCATCATCATCATCGTTATTATTATTATTATTATTATCGTCATCATCATCCTAACCACGCCCGCTGCAGGGTAAAGACCTTCCCCATGATCCACCGATCCACCCGGTCTTGTGCTTTCTGCTGCCACATTATTTATACCTGCGATCTTTTTAATCTCATCGGCCCACCTAACTTTCTGTCTCGCTTTCGTGCGTTTGCCTTTTCTGGGAGTCAAGTCAGTTACCCTTAATGACCAACGGTTATACGTCCCCGGCCCATGTCCATTTCTTCTTCTTGGTTTCAGCTATAATATAGTATATGTAATAGCGCTGTTCTTTTCCGAGGTTGTTGTGCATTACTTTTGTTTTCAGCAGACCAATTTAAGACGTACCTTTTTGCTCTCCTTGTCTAATTCAGTACTAATCAATTGCGATTCGTCCCTTAAGTTACTCAGCAATGCAATGTCATCGCGAATCGCAGGTTACTGAGGTATTCTCCATTAACTCTTATCTCTAACTCTTCCCATTGTAGGCTTATGAAAATCTCCTGTAAGCACGCAATAATTAGCATTGGGGACATCGTATATCATTGTCTTACACACTTCTTTATTGGTATTCAGTAGCTTTCTTTATGGAGCACTATGTTGTCAGTTGAGCATTGTAGATTTCTTCCAGAATGTTTGTAAATGCTTCGTGGACGTCATGATTCCGCAGTGTCTGCATGACTGCTGATATATCTACTGAATCAAATACCTTCTCGTAATATATGAAGGCTATGTATTGTAATTGGGCGTATTCTGGGCATTTCTTTATCACCTGATTAATAGTATAAATGTGCATGATTCTTGAATAGCCTGTAGGAAATCCTGCCAGCATACATCACTGTCATGCAAACAAAGCCCCGCCGCGGTGGTCTAGTGGCTAAGGTACTCGGCCGCTGACGCGCAGGTTGCGGGATTGAATCCCGGCTGTGGTGGCTGCATCCTCGTTGGAGGCGAAAATGCTGTTGGTCCGTGTGTTCAGATTTGGGTGCATGTTAAAGAACCTCAGGTAGTCGAAATTCCCGGAGTCCTCCATTACGGCGTATATAATTATCATATGGTGGTTTCAATACGTTAAACCCCACATATCAATCAAATCAATATGATGCAAACACAGCTGTTCAAGGCCATCTGGGTATCCATTGTGTAGATTTTGGTTGCAAACCGGAATTTGAAAAAGTGCACCGTTGTCGCAAAATATCGTCTGCAGCTAACACGCGAGATTCTTGAGGCTAATCAGGTGCAAATGCTGGGTGACCTATGGGTTAGTATGCCTTCGGTCGCGCTCACTAAAAAAAAAATCAAGTATCTGGCAGCGATGCAACTTATCGTGAGTTTGTGCTGTACTGTTGTACCCACTTGACAAGATATCGAGTGCCTGGCTGGGACGATATAGGTTGCGCGCTATACTTGGTGTGCTGCTTGCTATCACGTGAATATAAGTCCAGCGTCTTAGCTAATAAAATTTAGTTGAATTCAGCGCTCTTTCCTGGCCATGTTTCTTCCTTCCGCAGTTACGATGTTACTACTTATGCTATTGCGCTGTGGAAGTATGCTGACTGGCAAATTAGTCGTGCATATTCTTTAAGCAGACAAACATAAGGAAAAAGAAAGCGCGTTTCCTCTCATAGACGCCGGGTATGCCTGGCGTCTACATACATTGGGTTAAATTAACTTTTCAGAGGTGGACGTCATGGTGTATCAGGAGAATATTTAAAACTGTAGAAATCACAGGCAGTCACTGCAGTGAACCACTTGCCAGCTGAATCCGCTTGCGCAGCACCAGCACCGTGAGCATCAACAGCACCTGCAACAACAAGCACTCTCTGTCAAAGAGCAGCGAAGCGAATTGTGCGCCAAGACAACGCGCTGTCAAGTGTGCGGGCCAGCTGTCAGTCAAGTCGTTTTTAGCTCGAGGTGTTTGCAAAGCGGCGTCGAGGGACAGCTTAAAATAATGAGACACGAATGGTCACCTTTGGAGTTACTGAACCGATCATATCAGAGGGTATTGTTCGATAGCTGATACAAGCTTGGTCAAAAGAAGCAGCAGATAATGAAAGTATAGCGGGCGTTAATCTTAATGGGAAGGAAAAAAAGCGGACGAAAGGATTACTTGTCGCCAGCAGAGACCGAACAATTCGGATAAGGCGCCCGATGCTTTATGGTTTATGCGCATGCAAATGTGGGAGTCTCAGCCATGACGGTGCGTGTGGAGCACTCATCCGTTCATGGCGTCATGTACACAATCCTTTTGCGAGTGGAACAATCTGGTTGTTTGCGTTAAGCTTGTGTCAAACAAAGAAACAATTCGTCAAAATTCCATTCTTTCGTTTCTTGTCGTTGATCGATACATCATGATGATGCACCTATAGATCATGACCTCAGAAAAACATACGTGTGCTTTTTATGGTAACAAGGAAAATGCCACTGGGCGAGAAAGGGACCGATTAGATACGAGCGCGCGACCTCGGTACGTGTCGCGAGTGATGCACTGTTAATAGGGCCGGTGACAATGGTTCATTGTTTCATTTGACATCATTATTGGCTTCGTACTATTTGTTGTATACAGTGTCGCTCAGCTGATGCTCATCTCTTATAAAAGCTGCTACCAAGTCCATTTTTCGTCTATTACTGTCAGCCCGAATACGCTGTTTGTACAAAGTGTATACGCATAGCAAGGTGCATTGGCATTTGGTATAACCTTCTGTTGACTGTCCAAAACGTTCATTAAGCCCCGCCGCCGTGGTCTGTTGTCTAAGGTACTCGGCTGCTGACCCACAGGCCAAGGGATCGAATTCCAGATGCGACGGCTGCATTTTCGATGGAGGCGAAAATGCTGTAGGCCCGTGTGCTCAGATTTGCATGAGCGTTATAGAACCTTAGGTGGTCGATATTTCTGGAGTCCTCCACTACGGCGTCTCTTATAATCACATGGTGGTTTTTCGGACGTTAAACCCTAATATCAATCAATCAATCAGTCAGTCAGTTTTAGCTTGTACGTATACTTCTTTACCTTACCGTGTTACCGGTTTACGTTTACCGTGTTACCGTGTTACCGGCGCCCGAGTTTTAGCAGCGTTTTGCTACACATACGGGAACCTTTACGTTCGTACGTAAAAGTTTACGTTCGCCGATGATGATGATCATGGATGCAGACATATTCGTTTTCTTTTAAATAAAACTTAACCAGCGCTGCGGCGCAAATTTGTTTAGACGTTAAACCCCACGTATCATCATCAAAACATACATTAGAGGTTACGTGCATCAAAGGCTCGTTTCCCATAGCGTAAAATTCATCGTCCTCCTCACCATGCCCGTGGTTCCAGCTATGGCGGCCACGAGCCAGGCTACCTGGTTTGGTTGAGCGTTGCGCCGCCGGGCATTCCACGTGAACCTGAATGATCGAGGGTGAAAACGCATCAGAGAACAATGCACACTATATGGATTACCACTGACCTAACGAATACCAGCTCCACTTCGTCGTCACCAGTGAGACAGAAAATGTGGTGGCGTTCCCTTCGTCAGGCTGTCGCATTTCTGTTTTGCAAGTCTTATCACGCTCTTTATTCAACGCTTTTCGTTTTAAACTTTGAAGTTAGTTTTATTGCTCTTTGGTCGTACCAATCTTATACGCAGGTTTACAACAAAGCATTCGCTCCTGGACATTGCATCGCTGTTTTTTTTTATTACTTTGTGTTAAGGTTTGAGCTGGTGATACAGCCATGGTGCACCACCTTATCGTATCACGTGACAGTGGTTTGACTACGGTAACGCCATTTGGGTCTTCTTCCTAGCAGAAGATGAGTGCAGTGTTATATATATATATATATATATATATATATATTCTGAGCATTTCTCTATTACTTGATTGATAGTATGAATGTGGTCAATTGTTGAGTAGCCTGTTCGAAATCCTGCTTGTTCCTTTGGTTGATTTAGTTCTAATGTTTTCTTTGCTCTGTTAGCAATTACCTTTGTAAATAGCTTGTACACTACAGAGAGCAAGCTGATTGGCCTGTAATTCTTCAAGTCCTTGTCAGCTCCTTTCTTATGTATTAAGATGATATTAGCGTTCTTCCAAGACTCTGGTACTCTTCCCGTCAGGAGACACCTTGTAAACAGGGTGGCTAGTTTTTCTAACACAATCTGTCCTCCATCTTCAGCAGATCTGATGTTACCTGATCCTCACCAACAGCTTTGCCCCTTTGCATGCTCTACAAAGCTTTTCTGACTTCTTCTATCATTACTGATGGGGTGTCATCTCCCCACCAGTAATAAGAGAAATACTCAGAATATAACCAACCACTATACATAGCCTTCATAGATTACGAGAAGGCGTTTGATTCAGTAGAAATATCAGCCGTCATGCAGACACTGCGGAATCAGGGCGTAGATGAAGTATATATAAACATTCTCGAAGAAATTTACAGGGGATCAACTGCTACCATAGTGCTTCATAAAGAAAGCAACAGGAAGGGTGTAACGCAGGGGGACACAATCTCCCCAATGCTATTTACCGCGTGCTTACAGAAGGTTTTCAGAAGCCTAGAATGGGAACAGTTAGGAATAAGAGTTAATGGAGAGTACCTTAGTAACCTGCGCTTCGCCAATGACATTGCATTGATGAGTAACTCAGGGGGTCGAATTGCAACTCACGATTACGGAGTTAGACAAGGAAAGCAGAAAGGTGGGTCTTAAAATTAATCTGCAGAAAACGAAAGTAATGTACAACAACCTCGGAAAAGAGCAGCGCTTCGAGATAGGTAATAGTGCACTTCAAGTTGTAAAAGACTGTCTACTTAAGGCAGGTAATAACCGCGGAGCCGAACCACGAGTTTGAAGTAACTAGAAGAATAAGAATGGGCTGGAGCACATTTGGCAAGCACTCTCAAATTATGACAGGTAGATTGCCACTATCCCTCAAGAGGAATGTATATAACAGCTGTATCTTGCCGCTACTTAGCGACGGAGCAGAAACCTGGAGACTTAAAGAGGGTTCAGCTTAAATTGAGGACGACGCAGCGAGCAATGGAAAGAAAAATGCTAGGTGTAACCTTAAGAGACAAGAAGAGAGCAGAGCGGATTAGCGGACAAACGAGGGTTAAGAATATCATAGTTGAAAGAAGAGGAAATGGACATGGGCCGGGAATGTAGCGCGTAGACAGGATAACCGCTGGTCATTACGGGTAACAAACTGGATTCCCAGAGAAGGAAAGCGGGTTAGGGGGAGACAGAAGGTTAGGTGGGCAGATGAGATTAAGAAGTTTGCGTGTACAAATTGGCAGCAGGAAGCACAGGACCGGGTTAACTGGCGGAACATGGGAGAGGCCTTTGTCCTGCAGTGGACGTAGTCAGGCTGATGATGATGATGTTGATGATGCCTACCCCGTCGTCGATCGACAGGTTCGGCCTGTCGAAGACCAGTGATTGCCTTAACGGCGATTCGTCAGCTGTCGCACACCTAGTAAATATGATGTGCATAGTCTGACTGACCATGCCAGTAAAGAAATACAAGTGTACTCTAAGCCAGCTTCGAACGCATAAGTTATCGAATGTTTTTCCAGACCTGATAAGGGCTGAAAAAGGTAACAGTGTTACCGCAAGGACGACGCAATCAATGCGTGGAGCATTCATTGTTCACGTTTGCCAAGCAATGCCTGTGGCTTGACGAGAGACAATCGTTCAAGCGACAAATGGGCGTGATTTGCACATCATGTGTCCGTGTGTGCACGCTCTTACCTCCTGACGGGGGCAGTCTGTACGTCGTGTGCTTTCGCCGGAAAGATTGCGTTTAGGTTAAAGAGCGCGCCAAGGTCACTTGGCTAGGTGGAGGCTCCGGAGTCAAATACAGTGGCGTAACAAGTGTGGCCCTTGCTCGGGCTCGTCCTGTGTATATATCGGTGCGTACGTTTCATGCGTCCTTTGTGTTTGAGAAGCGCGTTAAGTGCCGAGCTGTGAACTTTGCTAGTCGTCCTGTGTGTTCCTTTCGTGCGCCCTTCGTGCTTGGGCAACGCTCTCCAAGTTTCGATCTTCTTGCCGTTCATCGCGTGGCATGCATTCGATGCTTCGCCCTTGCGGCGAAACTGACTTCTTTAGTGATGAGTGGTGGGATATGGCCCGTCTGTGATGCCCACAAGCGTTATTACCACGGATCCCGGACATGAAAGGCTCTACTAAGAAGAACATGTCAATTACGCCTACAGCCATCGCTTTACACAGACATTGCATAAGTGCTCTACCAATGGCGCGCTTGACCCATTTTGTGACGTCAGGCACTTCTGTAGTGATTGGGGTAGCTGACTTTTCCACATAGATACACTCCTGTGTCGTTGGTTCTAGGCCGGAAACTTGATATTCTGACTCTCGCATTGCTGCTCAAACAAAAGTGATGTTTCAAGCAATAACGTTTAACCTTTACAGTCTCGTTCACACCAGCAACGGTCGCGCGACCAAGTTAGTCACAAATGGCCACTTTGACCCAATCGCTCGCTGGTTCATTCGTCATTGGCAAGACCGTCTTTTGCAGTCGCAGTACCGCTGAGTCGATCACGTGTGCTGGAACAGGATGCGAGGCATGTGTGAACAGGCGTGAATTCTGCGTGGCGATGGACAGATGGGATGATTCACAAGCATGTGTCCATCCCCCTTGTTTCAATGCTTGGCGTCCACCTCTTATCACCGATTAGAATTCCGGACCATTACATGAGTGGCTGGAGCCGCCCCTGGCGGCGGGTTCACGTCGCACACAGGCGTGAACACCGGTCGCCTTGAGTCACTTTTCGGTCTCCAGTCGCGAACAGACTCGAGACCGGTGCTAGTGGCAGCTAGGAGTGAATCAGCACACTTGGTGATGCTCAAAACAATCGGGAAGCAGACTTCTTGCCAGACGAAACAAGCCGCGTTGAGGTGACTCAGTTGCATTGTTAACCTTCCCTTCCAGTTTTTCGGCACCAAACGTATTGTTACGATACCTTCCGCATATTTGCCAAATTTCCCGGATTTTTCGGGAGACTCCCGGATTTCGAACATTTCTTACATTTGTACGGTTGTCATGAAAATCTCCTGGAGATCGCAATTTCTGTTCGTGATCTGGCCGCGATTGACAAAAATGCAGGACAATCCGATCCAGGCTTTTTGCGAAACCGTCGCATATTATTGTAAACGAATTCAGGTGGCGTTCATCTCAACATACAGAAGATTCTCAGTGATGCGAGACCGGCGGATACGAATTCGTGAAATTCGCCTGCCAAGTTCGGATGGTTTGGACGATTTTTCTCATCCCGGTGGGTAATAGGAACTTTAGTACCGTCGAACGAAGACCGCGAGCAGCTTCGGAAGTGCACGCGGTCGCTCTTGAGACGATCACGGCGACGGCGTAACCGACTCCGCAAGTGTGTCCAACGATTGGCCTAACGCTTGATCAGTCGAAGCGACGCTGCTTTCCGCAAACGCTGCGGACAAAACCGCGGCATCATAGATAGTAAAAAACGACTTAGTTTCGAAGGTACGTGCGCAGCCAGCGCATGCACGTTGAAAACGGAACTACTGTCATTTTCCGCAACCGCCGCGCACGAAACCGCGGTCACTGCACCGCGATAGCAATCTACGAGGGCATGCCATGGGCACGCGACTGACGCAGCGGTCCTTTAAAGACAATAACGACTGAAAAAAAAAAAAGGGGGGGGGGGGGGGCGTTAGAAGCGTTTCGGTGCTCCTGTCCGGAAAATTGAGAAACGTACACTCTTAAAAATAGTTAGTAAAACGCTTGTAACGAGCAAAAAAGCTAGTAACAGCAGCTGTTACCAACTTTACTAACTTTTTGCGACCTTTTCACTATCTACGTAAGTAGACGACTAAAGGTTGCAACGGTTACTACCTTTTGCGCACAGTTGCTAACTTTTCGTCATGTACGTGTTCAATGAAATTGTTAAAGAACCTTAGAGCGTCAAACAACCTATTTACTTGCACGGGGATGCATTCAAGTTCATTGAAGCAATTCATGTAAGCTTGATACGCAGTCTTACGTCTTCTATAATAGGCCTTGTTCAGGCGACCCTATGCGAAATACAACTAATTGTTTTTCCTAATATTATTGAAGGAAAGCCCTACGATACGTCACCTTGCGCACCTAAAAATTGTATACGCTTGTCAATAAAGACGCCTAACTCCAATTATTCATCCCACACCGTAGCCGCACACCAGCTGCGTTTTCCAAATTCAGGGCTATAAATACTCCTAGAACTCCTGAGCTACTGTCGCGTGGACTTGTGCATGTGTGCCGTTCTCATTTATGAGATTACGTGCGCAATTACTCAGTGATATATCGAAATGCCGAAGCTCGCGAATCGGGCCGTTATAAAACGGTTGATTCGTGAGGCGAAATGATCGCAGCTAGTTCTTTTTTTTTTTTGTTAGTAACCGTTACTACCTATATACGTTAGTAAGCATTACTAACTGCGTTAGTAACGGTGGAAGGAGTAACAGTTACTAACCTCCCCGTTCCTAACTTCACTTACTAACCGGTTAGTAACATATGTGACAAGTAGTTAGTAAACCGATGTTAGTAAGTACTACAACGTTTTTCTAAGAGTGTAGCGAAACCTTTACCAACTCTCTCGCGGCAGCTATAGCTGCGCCGTCCCGTCCGTTTACGCGTGTCTTGAGTTATTTTGACAGAAATTAGTTTGCTAGTTGTTTTGGTGACGCGAAATTTTACGAGTATGCGCGTTCTCCCTTTCAGACTCGCACCTTTGATGGCAAGCCCTACCCTCGCGTATTCGGCCATTATGAGACAGCCACGTCAATGTCTACGCTTGCGATATTGTTGAGGACACCTCTTGCTTTTCGCGATATTCTTTGTTTTATTTTGGAATGGAAAAAACGAATCAGTGCGACACTCCTCCCAATTACCGTTTCGGAAATCTCCCGTATTTAGAATTCTTGAACTTGTCCGGCATTGGCCAATCTCTTAACCGAATGGTAATATCACGCGACGTCATGGTAAAGACGGTTTTCGATCAGGTTTTTTATTTGTGCAGGCTTTTGAACAGACTTTGCATCTATGCGACCATGACGGCGTCGAATGACGACGTCACAAGCTCCCCTCCCCACACGCCGCCCATTTGGAGAAGATCGAGTGGGTTTTCGTGCTACTTTTTTCGCCTGCCGTGTTTCACTCAAGCTCAAGGCACGAAACTTACTAAATTACGACTGCGAATTGGGATATTTGGAGGGGTAAAAAAAGGTATGGCTCGTTCACAGCGCAACCACAAAGACGAAAAACGTTTGCTTTTTCTTTTTCGTTGTCCTTGTGGACACATCCCAATTTCCCTAGGAATAATTTTTATACATCTCTCTTGATCTTTGAGCGCCGTGGCAGGCTGATATTTGCATGCGCCAAAGTTATGGGACAGTTGTTTCAGTGAATACGTAAAAAAACATTTAAAAGCTGCATAGTACAAAGAGAATGTTTTGTATTGCGATAGATATTGTATGGACACTCTCGACTAGATTTGGCCGCCGTCATTCACCGTATATGTCTACGTATCTATATATACATGAAAGCGCAAGAAAGTAAAAAAAATCTAGAAAACGACTCCGGCGAGCGGAATCGAACGTCCGACTTCTTGTTTGTGAGTGCGTGGCATTAGCCATTGAGCCACGAAGGAGCACCTCTTTGTCTTTGAAACGGCAAGCTATTGATATCTACCACTTACCGCTGCTGATCTCGAAGGAACTATTGTATTTTCAGCATTACCAGCGAGATGGCGCAATGAGCGCGCGTCGCCAGATCGTCACGACGCGGCGACGCGTGCTGATGCGTTCATCTCCCACGCGTACTTTGCCCCGTGGAGGGGGCAAGGGGGTAGATGCTCACGCTAGAGTTACTGTATATGCTACCTTTAGGTAGCAGAGTTGCGCCACTTTTCCGGGCACACTGCTTCTCCACCTGCAGGAGTTCATCGCCCCTATTTGCCGAGTGCCATCACGTGGTTATAGGTGGTTCATCTGCACAGCGGAGAAGCCAACACTACGCAGACGACGCGATTTTATCAGAGTAGATCAAGCGTGGTTGACATCCACTGTTGTTATTTTCTTACCGCGCTTCTTCGGTACTGAAGCCATGTTGCCTGTTGGTCGCGAGAAATGTGGTAGCAATTGAATGCTGTGTTGAATTGTAATAAGTACAGCCCATGCGATTATACGCGGGTGCAGCGGGTGTTACTATAGAAATATTAGTGTTCAGTGAAAAATGAATAAACGCTTTAATTTTTTTATCTATCCACGGCACTGCAAAACTTGCTCAATTTCTAGGCAAAACTGTGGGCAAAACGTGCCCACAGATGCAGTGAATACGTTATACATGCAGAGTTGGTCAGCGTATGTCGGCTGCACACGTCCAAATTGTTGTGACGGGTAATAAAACGCCAAATATACAGGGAGAAGTTAAACTAGAACTCTTTGAATCAGCAAGGTGTTGCAGCTAGTGCCTGAATTTAATGCAGCTTTCAAACTTCAAGCGAAAGGAATTTTGGACTCGACAGGGCTGTTGAACTACAATTAACATCAGCTGTCGTGAGCCGCGATTGTAATACGAACATAATACGAGAGGTGCGCGTAAAATGGGCATCGTACGGCCACTCTCGATCGCTATCGAGCTTGATTCTGTTGAAGACTGCAAAACTATAGCTGTCTTCCTCACACAGTTAACGAATGAGCCCAACGCGACGAATAAATTATATTCCTAACTGACTCGATCACGATCAAAGGTGCAAAAATAATTACATATCTATAAATGGGAAAAAACAGCGCAATGGAAGACGAAACTAATGTGTGACCAACTATATATCTCAATGGTTAAACGAGCCGACGCACCTTATTTTATTAATTATTATTTTACTTGAAATACCCAAAAGTACACACAGTACATTATAAAGGGGACATACCAAGAACGTAAGCATAAAATCAAGGCTCCTAGGAATGACCGGAGCAATCGAGTATTGCTTATACTTCATGAAAATAGAAAAAAAAAAAAAACAAAGCAACGCTAGTACTCTGAAGCACGAGCGCTGCTCCTACGCGGGTGGTGAGTGGCTTTCTCACAAGACATTTGAACCCAAGATGGCGTACCTGGACGCAACTCTGCATATACAGTGACTCTAGCGTGAGCACGCTAATCTCGCGGTGGGGAGAATCGTACGCGGCCTCTGGCTTTCACGGGAATGATTCTGTTGTAGTTACCGGGCGCACACTGTAGTCACTCAATCGTTGCACAGTTTCCGTTTGCGAAAAGGGCGCGCTTTTCAGGCACAGCGAAGTAACAACTGAGACACTTATTCGCGTTCATCTGTACCTGTGAGTACGTTTCGTGTGTCATTTGTGCCTGAAAAACGTGGGGCACGTTTTCATCTGCTTGCCATTCATCGCGTGACATTACAATTTGTTGCTATCGCATTCATTGATTCACCTTCGCGACAAAGCTGTGGCTTTTTAATTTTCTGCGAATTGCCAGAAATGATAGCTCATTAGCTTTCGTAAGATATTAATGGGTACATTTGAACGTCGTTATGTTCTGGATTGTTTCGAACTACATGTCTTGTACAGCAATACGCTAAGTATTTGGGAAACGAATAATCGTACACGCGTTTGAACGTTTCCCGATGTATATGGCACTTTCGTGACTAATTTGGAAGTTGTGTATACTTAAAATATGAAAGTTCACCATCACCAGCCTGACAACGCCCCTTGCAAGGCTTTTTTCCATTTTCCAACAACCAAACCGGTCCTGTGCTTTCTTCCGCCACGTTGTACCCGCAAAATATCTGCCCACCTAACTTTGTCTCCGCCTCGCGCGTCTGCTTTCCGTTGGGGTCAAGTAAGGTTGTCCTGCCTACACGCTATATACGTGCCCTGCCTACGTCCATTCCTTTTTTTTTTTTGCTTTCAACCATCCTTGACACCTGTTTCTTCCTTGAACCACTCATGTTCTCTTCCTCTCTCTTAAGGTTGCACCTATAATTTCCATTGCTCGCTGCGACTGTCCTCAATTTGAAAGGTATACGCAACATTAGCCGTACTTACCAGAGATAGCACGTCCCTCCAACGCATCCCAGGGACACCGTCGCAAGTAGGAGCCACACGAGCAGCGCTACGCAGTAGCGCAGAAGGAACAGTGCCACCACGCTGAGCCCTAAAACGACAGCCGCATATAGAAGGACATTTAGGCCCGTGTGATCCAGGACGAGCATGTAGGAGTGCGGCGCAAAGTAGCAGGTGCACGTAGAGCGAGCTGGTACAGTGCGAACAACGCAAGCGCTGGTGCTACCTGGACGAGACAGCATTCACGAGTTCGGCCGACGCGGAGAAGGCGAGGTTTGTGTGCAGGCTCTGCGAGACACTGAAGGCGGCCGTGCGGCACATGGAGGCCAGCATTGAGGGACTGCAGGGGGAGCTTAGGGCGGAAGAAACAGCTCGGAGCGTCGCGTGAGCGGGAGGAGGCTACCGCCAGCCTATTAGAGCAAATGAAGGGCGACCTTAGAAAAAAACGAGAATGGTACTTAGTGAAAACGATTTAGAGTACTTAGTACTCGACTATGGGAGAGCCTAAAGCCGTCCCGTAGGCCTCACATTAGATGAGGCCGCAAACGCACAAACTGAGAACCGCTCAACTGTGGCAAGACCAGCCGGGTCCTGCACATTAGTGAGCATGTATTACAGCATAATTCCAGTGCTACATCAACGCCATTTTTCTCGCTAGTATCTGTTAGCATAAATGATATCTTACATGTTTGCTTTCCGAGTTCGCAAATGACGGTTGCAGATTAATTAAACGCATTACAATGATCTTTTATCTACTGATGTGCGAACAAAGCGCGAGTATAATTATTGCCTTGGAAGTTGGCTTTCCAGCTGCGTATGCAGCAGAAGTTCTTGCATGACAGGTGGGCCTGTATGCGAAATGGCTAATCCTGGGCAGCGGGCACAAAGCGTCTAAACAGGACTGGCATACCGACCTATCGCCACCAGGCCCATGTAGCCCAGCTCCTGTCGGCAGGCGGCCAGGTCTTGAACAACCTCCTGAATCGCGAAAAAAGATCAATTGATTAGGAAAAGATGGGGAAATTTTTGCTTTTATTTTTTTCAAATTCGCGTTACATTTACTACTGATAACATCCCCTACATTACCTTTGGCATCATTGTCTGTTCACATTAATACTGTGTCTAACGAAGAAAGACAAAAGAGGCCCTGCAATTCGAGCATGTATTTTTCCTTAGTTCTTCTCTGGTGCTGTAGAATGCGCCGATATCGTTGCGCAAGTGGCAATGCCGAAATCGAAATGGTTACAATGTGAATTCACGGGACAAACTACCCTGATTTCGGATTGCGGTGACACAAATCGGCTAATCTTGTTACAGGAAGTGACGTGGTTTCATGTGACGTGACGACATAGGCCGTTCGTTTTTGATTGGGTTGAGGCGAGAAACGGCGTTCAATATTGATATGGTGGTAGCTAGGCCATACGAATGAATGCTTAAAAGAGCAAAATCCTTTTAGATGCGGAGCATCTAATACTCGAGGCTTGTAGTGCGGCGCCGTCCGCAAGCTTCCTCGTCCTTCTTCCACCATCTGTGCATTCCTTCCTCCTCTACACACCGCGCGCGCTTCACTCCTCCACCATCTGTGCTCCCTTCCTCCTCTACACACCGCGTGCGCTTCTCCTCTTCACGAACATTCGCTAGCTGTATAATGTAGCGCGCATGCGCCGTCACGCTTCGAGAACATCGGCAGCTGACGCGCGCGCATGCGCCGTCGCGCTTCGAGAACATCGGCAGCTGACGCGCGCGCATGCGCCGTTGCGCTTCTCCCCCTTCTCGAACATTCGACAGCTGACAGTGCATGCGCCGTCGCGCTGTATATATACTCAAGGTCGGCGCTCGCTCGCTCAGTTGCCGCTCGTCGGTTGGTTTGTACGGCGCGTCGACGTCCAAGGTCGCGGTGAAATGAATTCCAACGAATCCACAAACACAATGATCGACGTCCCTTCGACCAGCGCCGCCCTTTCGCATACGTGTGTACGTGTTCACTCATTTAACACCCCCTCCTACAACCACGTTAACCAATTTAGCCATCGACCCAAGTAAGTCGCAATTTAACACCCCATTTCACAACCACGTTAACCAATTTAGCCATCGACCCAAGTAAGTCGCACTTTAACACCCCGTTAACCAATTATATGCTCCGCATCCTCCTCAGTGTTCCCCAGAGGGAAGCTGCGGGCAATTTTTTTATACTTTCTCAGAAAAAAAAAACATTCCTGCTGCGAACGAAGCTAAGGTACGCGAGCAAGTAAAAGTGGAAACGCATGCCGCGTTTTTAGCGAGCCGAAAATGCGACATGCGGTGGGCGCCGGCGTTGTCGTAGAACGCGTCTTGCATGCAAGCCGAGAAGTGACCCCACCCAAAGCGTATGTGTGTATCTTACACAGTGTGAACATGGGAGCGTCTGCACGCGACAAGTATAGCGTGCAATATTCATGTGGTGGTAGCTAGGACATACGAGTGAATGCTAAAAACAGTAAAAACCTTTTTTTGGTACTTTCCTCAGAAATAAATACCGCCTATTTCTAAGTGATGTATTGTCAGAACAACGGTCTGCGAACGCGGCTATGGTGCGCCAGCAATTTAAGATGGAAACACTTGCCGCGATTTTAATGAGCAGAAATGCGACATGCGGCGGACCCCATGGCGTTGTCGTAGAACGTGTATTGCAGGCAAGCCCAAAAGTGTTCCCGCCTAACGAATACATGAGTACCTCACACACCTTACACAGGGGAGCGTCTGCTACCTGACGCACGTGGTTCGTCGTAAGCGTTCACACGACGCAGTCAGAACGTGGTAGCAAGGTACTGTGTGAAGGCCACCATGAAGTGACATTACCGGTGTGTCTTTATAAGACGCTCTCTGTGATTGGAAGCGGTTTTCGACGTCAGCAGGCGAGTGAAATGCGAAAGGAAACGTCTTTTCGTCGTCGTCTGCTCGAGTTTTCAACTTTGTGTACTCGTAACATTACTTTTCGTGCACCAATCTGCGTCATTTTTGTTGCATTCGTCTCAGCAATCATGCGTTCTGGTGCTAAATGAGGCGGTCTCAAAAGTGTCGCTCAATAAAGCATGTTTCTACGAAGGCTGTCAGTTGACTCTCGCGTGCTGTTAGAATGATAGCCCTCTGCAGGACAATATGTGATGTGCACACACGTATTTGATGGTCGCTGGATATGTTCGAATTCACCGATGATGCCACAAAACAACGTTCCAGAGAAGGCCGCTAAGATATATATCCTAGAAGGTTAAACCCTACTGTTATTGCATCACTTAACTACAAAAGAAAATATTGCGTGAATTTTTTTTTTCGTCTATACGAAGCCTGCTTTCCGAAAACTGAAAAAATTGCTTACACCTCACGAGGACACAACGAAGAAGTGCAGCGCAGACAATTAACAGTGAGGGTTGCTTGAGATATCTCCAGACAAGAGTCGTCCATCCATCGCATTGAATGAGGAATAAATCAACTTGCTAAACAAGGTATGATAGTGTTTCGGCTTTTCATTACAGGTTATACCGTTTTTGCACCTAGCACCTCCACCAAATATGTTACGAGAAGGAGACCGACTCGGAGGGGAAGTCGCCGATGTACTTACAGCCGGTTAGGCGAGCAGCGCCAGCCACACAGATTAGCTCGCACCAGTCTATCTGCTTTGTCTTCTTCAATTTCATGCACTGGGACGTAGCAGTATAATGAAATATTGGGGGTGCAGGTGCGCTCATGCGCATTTATTGTGACGTCGGGGTCATGGGGTCGTGACGTGGACGAAAGCAGCAGACTCGACGCTCTCTCCATTCGGCCGAAGCTGTGTCCAGGAAACTGAAGGTCAGATTACAGCAACACACGGGCACGGCATCGGCCGGCGATCAACTGACCAGCGGCGAAGCGCGCCGGCATTTATATAAACGTGCCATCGAAGATTCTAGCGTCATCGCTGGCAGCCACGTATACGTTCCAGAGTAATCTCTAGTGTTCGGGAAGTGGGCCTAATCTCAACAGAATGATCTACCACACTCTCGAAGGTTCGCGAACACTGTAAGCGTGTTTTGCGCTGAACATAGTGTAACGGGGCGATGGCAAACTTGAGGAAAGAACGTTGTAATACATTCTGACGGTCATTCGTTCGGTTGCTGCTGGTCCTTGTGAATTTCTTCGTTGTGTCCTCGTGCGGTGGGCGCAAGCTTTCTACTATGCAGCCGAATTAACTAGCCCGCCTTTAATGTTTCCTCCGACATGGTGGCAAAACGACACGTGATCGTATCGAGAAGATCGGTCTCGCATTGACGAACCTGAATGAGCATGCCGCTGACGTTGACTGTGCGCTGCACGAACCCCACGGGACCGGAGTCCAGGACGCACCTTCGGAACACGGTTTGCCTGCGAGGGTGGATTCGATGCACAACACGGAGCAACAACAGAGCATGCCGTGTACCTGTAGCCTGGCGGGCAGCTGGCAGCGCAGTGTCGCTTGTGGCCCATCGCATCCTCCAGAACCAGGAGTCTGCAGATGTTCGTCACTCACTTTGAGCCTCGAGGAGAAGCGCAAATTCAGCTCATTTTTCTTTGTTAGACGCTACAAGAATATACAATCAGGCCGAGGGAAATATAAGGTCTATTAATAGTAGCAAATAAAAACGCAAGTGCGAAGAAAGAAAATTGGACGAAAATGTAAGTTGCCGCTGGCAGGCTTTCGTCCATTTTTATTCCTTTCAATTTACAATATATTTACTACTAAGAACATCCCCTCCGAGAACCCCAGGTGGTCGAAATTTCCGGAGCCCTCCACTACGGCGTCTCTCACAATCATATGGTGGTTTTGGGACGTTAAACCCCACATATCAATCAATCAATCAATTAATCAAGAACATCCCCTCCCTGCTCGGTTCCCTCTATTTTTTTCAGCCTGTAATGATTTAGGCCATTTATTCCTGTTCCTACCGTTCATCCAGTAGAGCATAGTCTACCTCTCTCTCTTCGCGCACGAGAGGCCCTAAGAGGGAGAGGGCCCCAATATTCGTTTACTCGGTTCTGCTAACTCTTGACGATAATGGCGGCAGCAATCCACCTATATAAGAACTGCTTACACCATCCACGGCGGCTATTGACATCGCTCAACTATCGCTATTTTGTTACTTCTATTTTCAGGACATTTGACGCACGGGGTTCCTCCCATTTGCGAACCCTGCGCACGCCAATGATCGTATCCTCTTTTCGCCCGTCGAATGAAAGATCCCGAACATTTACACGTGCCTGTAGAGTGACCATGCTCACGTGAGTCCCGTGGTGTTCTGGCCGGATCCCGGCACGCCGGGCAGTGGCCGCTGGTCGCCGCGGCCGCACACGTTGCCATGACTGTCCACGCCGTGAAGCAGCCGCAGTGGGTCGCCACCCTTGCGCACTGCCCAACTCAGCAGAACACCCTATACAAGGAAGGGCGGTTATATATGCTCAACACAGGTTGCAACACTTCATGCGCGATACTCGAAATATGAGTGCGTAACGTAGACAGGGACTTCGGAAGACAAGGGACTTGTCTCGCGCTCGCATTTCAGGTATAATAATTCGCCTCCAATGAGCCATTTTCACATCTCTACGCATAATGGTTCGCAGGACTTCAAAAGGACAAGGATAGGGGAATTAGCAGCATTTTCTGTATAAAAGAAGAGGAGACTACGAATTGATATTTGACCACGTGGCGCTCTTTAACATGCAGCTCAATGTACACGCACGGGCTTTTTAGCATCCATCAAAATGCGGCATGGTGGCTGGCTGGCAATCGAACCCGCGCACTCGTCCTTATATGTCGCACAACGCCACAGCCGCTAGCTTCATCGACGAGATGCGCGCTTTGAGTAATGAAAAAGGGAAACCTAATAACGTTGCTCAGCTTCTGGATACTAACACCTATAGTTGGCAGGTATTCTCAGATCACCATTGGGAGTTTGCAAGTCCCCCTCGAAAGAATGTACGTAACAGTTGCATTTTACCGGTGCTTACCCACGGAACCCGGAGGCTTACGAAAGTATGGTTCAACTTGAATACAGGAAGACGCAGCGAGCCATGGAAGGTAATATGATAGGTACAACCCCTAGCGATGCAGAGCAGAGTGTGTGATGGCACAAACGCGTATTAAGAACATCTCAGTTGAAATCAAGTAGAAATGGGCATTCGCAGGGCAGTAAGACAAGCCGCTTGTCACAAAGAGACTGGTGCGTTCGTAGTACAGGAATACCAGTAGCACCAAAAGAAGTGCACCGAGACCAGAGACAGGGCGGGAAGAATGTTGGACTATCAACTGTGTGATTGTTGTTTGAGCGCATGCTCAATAGGTTTTTTGACCGCGTTTTCTTTTTAATAGTCCAGCATACTTTCTGTCCAGTCTTTCTTTTGGTGCTGCTTGTCAGTGGCCTGGCAAAAAGGTGGTACACCGGACCCGCGCCCCTCTCCCCTCAAGGATATTTTTTTTCGCCATGGCATACAGAGGTAAAAATGTCCATTTCGAGAGGGTACCCCACCTACCGAAAAATGTATTTGCTTAGACTTCTGTTGCTGGTATTCCCTTACCAAAAACTATGTACCAACTTGCCCAACAAGCATAGATTCCAAGGAAGCGAGATGGGCATGCAGATAAAATTTTCGGGGATGGCCGCAGCGAGCACACGACCACACTGTATTAAGTTCGCCGCAGTATTGATCGCACAACAACCACACAACCTCTGCAAAACAACATTCATCATGCACACCGTATGCTTGTTTCATCAAATACATTCTCCCTCCGATGTACCAAGATGTGAAATATCACACGAGCTCCATTTCGTTCTTTGCTGAACGATGAATTTTTGAAGGCTCTTCTTATTATTGCTTCTTGTTTTACACGGTTTATGTAAATTCTGTTTATGGAATCTGCGTACTTCTTTGACCTGTGATTGTTCGTATGTATCTCAACTCATTCTGGCTTTCTGTGTTTTTTTCTTGTTCTGTAGCCTCTTTTGCAATACACCAGGCTGCAGTATGCAAAATTAAAATAAATAAAATTGGAGAAACACGGCCACAGCCGCTCGATCTTCCCCTACCAAAGAGAGAGATCGAGTGGACGTGCTATGCAGGGAGTGTGATGATGCTGGTCAGCCTCCTCGATGGGAAACTGAGGCAAGGGCACCAAAGCGTTGCCGCCACTTCCGGACAGGGAATGACAGTGCTATAGCACGTGTGACATCTTTGCATGATAGAAATAATAGCGTCTCCTGAGTGACACAGAAAAAAAAAAACACGGCTGTACGCACCAGCCCTGCACTAAAGGCGGCGAAGACGAGCAGCCAACCAGGGTCCGTGCACGAACGCTGCCTCTCCAAGCCCTGCGGATAGTTTCGCATTAATATTTCAGAACATGTCAGAGATTGAAGAGCGCAGACAATGCTCTGGTATGAAGAACAGAGACAATGTGCCTGAATGTCTATTAAACAGAAAACAACTTACTGGAGCGTAACTTCGGGCAAGCAAAACGACAGCTTTCAGTAGGAGCTGCTCACGCAACTGTAATAAATCTGCCCAAGGAGCGCTTAGGATCCATATTGGAGATAGTTTGCAAACAAACCGCGGTGTGTCTCGTCCCACGAGATGCATCGAGTTGATTGCTTCTTTGAGATTCCGAGGTTCGAATAAATGCGGCTGTAATGGGACGAGGCATGCAAGAACTTACGCCTGCCGAGTGGACCTGGTTACTCCGGTCGCAGCAACAGCCCATCAGCCAGAGGCCTGCGTCGGTTGGGCGAGGAAACATTCCGATCAATGCAAATGGCTGCAAAGCAAGCTCTCTAAAACTACAGCGCCGCTGACACCTGGTGCTTATTATATTTCTTCCATAGTGTTCTGCAATGTATAATTTACAGATAAGTAATAATTGCCTAAGTTCACTTAATTCAATCCTCAGCTGCACCAAACACAACTCATTTCATCTCTTTTTAGAAGACCCAAGTCACGGCTGATATATTTTTTTATTACTATACGCCAAGACTTCTGACGTAGCAGAAGAGCTATACACTAGTACTAACGCGAATCTGCCAAATGCATATTTTCAGGAGCGTAAGTACTGATTGAAATTCAGTAAGGTAAAGAAACCAGGACCGCCAGTCTTGCCAGCGCCCTGAAAGCCATCTTTCTCTGCGATTTCAGTGAAGACATTTTGTATGGTGAGACACACAGCGTGAAAAGAGTCGCTGCCGGCATGCAGGCTATAACCCCGCGTGTGGCACCATCACAAGGAACATCAGTTGTTGTTTATTTTTTATTCATTACAAATGCTGCGACATTTCAGTTGAATTATCATGGCAGGGTGGTAAAAGTGTTCGGGAATATGTTCATGCATTGAAACAAACAAAAACTGTACGAATTTCATATGCACAACTCAGTTATAACAAAAAAAAAGCGCTGCTTTCAGTAATTTACAGAGTAACACAATATAGAGTAACATAATGCATAATAACATAACAACATAATACGTGTTACAGACTAACAAAAACTACAATGAAGCAAATACAATCCAATAACAAGTGATGTTCTGGAAGAGGCTGGTTTCAAATAATGACAATGTGTTATGTAATGACATCATTTGTAAGGTTATTCCAGTCATTAATAGTTCTTGTAGCAGTTAGTGCGTAAATTTAGAGGAGTAATCATTTTGCTGTGTCGCTTGCTAGTGGCGTGACCGAAAGTGTACTGAAGGATGCCTGCAATATTGTTAACACTTAAACAGACAGACACATAACTTTATTGGGTCGTGAGCAATGCTATACTCTTTTAGAGCAACGTCGCGGGCCTTTCCCACTTAGGGACGGGAAGGCCTAACCTCACAGGCTGTGAGTCACAGCGGTATCGTGGGCTGTCTAGACAGCCTGTAGTTGTGGTAGTAACTCTGAACTTCGTAAGGCAGAGTCCCAATCCTTTTCTGTGAGCCGACTTGGGCCCCGTAACGAGGGGCACTGCCAGAGCATATGTTCAAAGTCACTGACCCCGCCACAATCGGGACAAGCAGAGTGAGAATCCTCTGAGGAGACCATGTTGAGGAAAGATAGACTTGGATAGGACCTGGTCTGGAGCATTATAAACGTGATGGCCTGAGGTCTAGACAACCGCCCACTCAACTGGTAGTGTTTAGCCAACTTCACTGAATGTAAGTAAAGCGTCCCTTACATCCTCCCCAGCGCGGAGGGTTAGTGCGCGCGCCCGGGAATGAGCAGTGTCATTCAGGTTTACTTGAGAGTCCAGTAGGGGTTCGAGATGTGCAGGAAACCAGGTAATGGTATGTGGAGAAAGTGTCCTAATCTCAAGTAGTTTAAATACTTCTGTACAAACGGAACCAGAGGCGAAAGCCTTGACCTCTGACATTGAGTCGGTGAAGATTTGCAATCTACTGTCATCTAGAAGGGCAAGGGCTACAGCCAACTGTTCGGCTTTTGAGGGAGTAGAGTCCCTAACTAACGCAGCATTGGAAAGATGCTCGGTAATCGTGTTTCGAAATAGAGGCTCTGCGCGGGGCGCAGCGCTGTGATAGTCAGTAAACGTGATCGCTGCGGTCTAATCTGCGAATTGCCGAGGATGTATGGGGGGGGGGGGAGTAAAAAAAAAAAGTCGGAGCCTGTTGACTGGCCTTTTAAGTAAGTGATGTGTCTAAAGAGCCAATGACAAGGTATTTAAGTCTTGTATCTTTATTATACCCAATTTGCTCCAGCGTTCGTTTGCACTCGGTAATTCATATTACTGACGGCACGAATCGCTTTTTTTAAACAAATAGAGATTCGAAAATTAGATTGCGTAGTGCTTACCCCAGACCAACAGGCAGTAAAGCGCTTTTCTCGTTTCTCAAATTTCTCATTTTGCAGACTGTGCCAACAGAACTGGAAACTTTAGAACACACATGATTAGCGTGATCTGTCCAAGTTGGCCTATCATGAAAAATTACGCCTAAAAATCGTCTGGAGTCCACGCGCGATAGAACACTATTGCGAAAAGTGTAGTCTTGTTTTTAGACCTGAATAATATGAACTTCGCCTTGTTTACGCTGAGCTCTGTTTAGCCACTTATACAATCGAGCGAGCCACGTGTTTGCGTCGCTCGCTACTGAATCTATATCACACCAATAAAAGAAAATATTTGTGTCGTCCGCATACATAACCATTGAAGGAGTGCAAGCAATGTTAACTATATATGGTTAATATACTAAAGAAAGAGCGGCGGTGCTAAAATCAAGCCCTGCGGTACACCTCTGCGTACATTCATGTATACATTCATGTATACATATAGATGAAACACTATTCATAGTGCATTGTACTCTTGATGATAGGTAGCTCTCGATCAAATCTAAATTATCCCTTATTCCACAGTATAGCAAATTAATCAAGAGAACTTTATAATTAACCGAATCAAATGGCTTTTTTAATTCCAGGAACAGTCCTGTGAAACGTTTAACTTCCATGTTGTTTATTTCATCTTTCACGCACAGCAAGGCCCGTTTTGATTTTTCCGTCTGGAATCCATACTGCTGGTTTGATACTGTATTTCTTTTCTCGATGAAGTTATAACTAAGCGGATGTTGATATCATTTTGCAGCAGCTTTGCTGAAGACTGATAACACGGAGATTGCAAGATAATTCGAAAATGAGTTTCGATCTGTGCATAACAGACGCTCGTGATATTTTCAGCTTATCATGAAAGATTCCCATAGTTTTGTAAGTGCTGGCGCTACTATATCTGCGACGTATTTGAGTTCCTGCGATTCGATTCCAGCCAAGCAGTTGCGCAACTTCCAAATGAACTTTTTCATTAGGTGATGTAGGCAAAAGAAAAGATAGTCTTGAATGATTTATCTTTCGAATATAATGAATGATCGTCCTCATCAACTTTTGTACTCCCTTCACCAATAGAAAGAAAGTGTTTAAATTTATTCGATAAGGAAATACCAGAGAATACCCTACCTTCATCTTTGATGCAGAGATTGCTTGTTTGTTTTGCACATGAGACTGTTATAGTCGTCAGACTCTGCCTAGGCGGCGCTGCGAAAAATGCCGCCACCAGCGCCCTCATCGCCGCGCTGGCCGTAACTGGGTAGTGCAAAAAGAGCAGCCCGCAAACGAACGTGCATAGGCCCTTCTCTTTCGTCTTGTGCTCAGGTACGGTTTCCCTAGGACCTGGCAAGCTTCTTCCATCAATTCAACCTCGCTTCAGAAAAGTAGGAAGCTCAGCAAAGCGAACTGCAGGTGCAATGCAAAAGATGCGGGCTGCATCCTCGCAATTTAAGCGAAGCAACGCATTACGTCGAGGCAGGCACTTCGACTTGCGTTCTCTAGCGCCCAAATGCGTTGATTCGGACATACACATGCATGTTGTCAAAGTGATGTAGTGCATACACGAGCTGTATCTTGCGGCCAGTTGTACGAAGCTTTCTTTTTCGGGTACGAATGGTCCCGCCGATTTTCGCCTTTGCATTTTCCATCCATAACAGTGCGTCGAACTGCATATTTTAATTCTTACGCATCCTATAATGTTCTGTTGACGGTTGTATTCCGTTTGTATGTGCTGCAAATGGGAATACATGCTTGCCCACTTTCTTGGTGAAAGGCATAACCGAAGCCTCCGCTCCGGCCATCGAGACCAACGGCGAGAAAAACCTGATTGTTGTCCTGACCAATATTTTGCGGTTTACCTGTATAACGTACATGTTCTCATACACTAGTTAAAGCCGGAAGTTAGAACCTTGAAAGCGTATGCGCGCTATGCTGTGTGATAATAACTATCTCAGATTATCGGTGGTCGCGGCATGTGCGATGCTTTTCGCGCGCGTCCCCGGTCAAAGGCTTGGTTGAGGTTCATAATCAAAATTACTATGGTTCCCCGCCAAGGCTACTGAAAATAATAAGAGGAGACTTACGTTGTCACTTTCTCATGCGACCAGCTGTGGAGAACGCGAGTAATTCGCTCATTCAACACGTTAGCAACGTCCCGTATCCAGCGAACTTGCCGTTTCGCTTCGCAACAGCTACGGAAATCGGTGTAACTGAAATCCGTGGCAGTTCACAACGCAACGTCGTTCTTTCTTCGTAGAGCGCGTCTGCTCTTGTTTTCGCCGTCTTGCTTGTGAGTGCACGTCATGGCGGTTCGATGACGCCTCCGGAAATCTGTTTTTGAGTGTTCAATGCGCAAAAACACCAAATATTAGGTCAATAGTTGTTTCGCCCGCGCAGTTTGCACCTGACTGCGCAGCAAACTGTGCAAGAGCCTTTGCACTACCCAAAACTGCGCCGGCAGGAGGCGCTACGTGTCTGCGAGACTCCGAGTCTGACGACTGACCCATATTTATTCAGGGGTAAGTCTGTTAGAAAATACTTTCATCTAGTAGTCGCCCTTCGCTTTTTTGAATATCGAATGATAATTTATTACGCATTTGCTTAACGCTTAAGGATATTTACGTCTCTATACTTTATGAAGTCAGGATAAAGTTTATTTTTGCTAACGGTTCATTTTTTAATTCTTTATTTATTCAAGTCTTTCGAGACTTCTTAAATAATAAGGCGATAACGCCTTATTATAAACTTTTAAATTTTTTTATATGAAAATCGTGAACTATTGTTGGGGTTACTTTCACTATGTACGTCTGTCGATAATCTTCTTTGTAATAAACCCCGAAAACGTTGGAATGTATCGTCATTAATTTTCCTGTACAAGACTGGCGATGTTTAGGCGGAACTTTCTTAATATGTGGAAAAAGAACAAAGCAAGGCAGATGATCGCTCAAATCGGATAACGGCCGAGTGCACATAAAAGGCAAAAGATCTGGAAAACACAGATCTATTGCAGTTGAACTGTATCATACCCGTTCCCTGCAACAGCCTCAGATGTGAGGCTAGCAGTATCTTCAAATAAACAAATAAATCCCACTACTTGCAACTGGTCCACAAAATGAAAAGGGGAACAGTTACGCCGTTAGAAGAGCAGAACTGAAACTGGGCATAAAAAGATCAACAACCGTAATTTTTTTATGTAATTCGTAATATTTCTATTATATGACCTACATTATTCTAAAACTTCATACTATTTTATAAAACCACTCGATTCTTGACCAATCCTCCACAGTGAATATGCGCCACAGTTAATTGGTGAACAAGAACAATAAGAAGCTGCATTACGATACAGAACCGACTGTTAGCACAACTAATGTTTTCGTTTACCTAAAGAAAAAAACCTTTTTAAGCACCCCTCTCCTAAATTCCACTGCCGCGGGATTCGTGGCCGAGGTGGTTTGAGCCACTCATCTTGGAATCTGATACGACGTTAGCGCACGAAAACACCCTTGTCCGATTTCAGGATCGGACAGAGAAATCTCGCTCGGCTTCACGCTAGCGGAGTCCATCCGCACTTTTGCATAGTATCACCACTATTCGCATTTCAACTTGCACTGATATCGCACTCAAACAGGCCCGATTCGGCGAGGAACCACTCACCGCTCGGCGTCGCCAGAATTGTGGTGTTGCGTTTCCCGTGGTTACCGCTTCCGCCGCACGCGCCACCCAGTGCACTCGAAAACGCCGAGACACGCGATCAATGCGGGGTCGACGACCCTCGCGCACATGGGTGCTGAGAGCGCCAAATTTGTGCTAATCGTTTCTATCCTTTGCGGACGTCTTGCGTTCCGTATGTGCGACTTCTGGCGGGAAATATGCAGCCAATTCCAACTTTTCGCCCATGGCCCGCTTTTAGGGACGAAACAAAGCATCGGCTTGTCCTCGTCACGGTCCATCATAAACTCGCCACAAGAACATGCTAAATCCCACGTCTCGCCACCGGTTGCATACTAGAAGGTTCATCCTTACTGCCTAAAATGTCGTGTTTGACTTAGCAGCGGTATCACAATCCCCGACCGAAATTTACTAGATCGTTCAAGTTCCTTTTTTTTTTAAATTCTAAAATCAGAGACGAAAACAGGCATTTTTATGGTAAAGTCATGTATTTGACACGTCACTGCGAAGCCACGGTGCTTTACTCGCCACTGGTTCACCAAAAATAAGGCAACTGGTTAGCTCAATAAATAGCCTATGACGTCAGTGGAGTTGAAACATCCTCAGGGAGCTGAAATCGGGCGTGTAGCGGAGAAGCACCTTGTTGTTCCAACACAATGTCTACATTAATATTGTCATGGGCCTAACTTGTGGCCACGTAAAAGGAAAGTCAGATTACAGCAAGGTACTGATAGCATCGAGCAGAGCGTCGGCCGTCGATCAACTGATAAGCGGCGAAGCACGTCAGCATTTAGACACTAGCCATGGAATGTTCTAACGTTTTCGCTAGCGGCGCCGTAGGTTCTAGAATAATGTCTAATGTTCATGAAGTGGGCGTAACTTCAACAAAACGATCTATTACAACCTCGAAGCTTTTCGCGCATTTTAGGCGCGGTTTTTGAAATTTGCACTGAACGTAGTGTATTCGGATGATAACAAAACTTGAGGAAAGGAACGTGGCAATATGTACTCGAAAATATCGGAGATGCAATCGTTAAAGACGACATTCGAATGAGATCGGGTCAGGTAAAGTCAGTTAAATATTTCAGGCTTTTGTAATGGTAGGAATTGGCACTTATTTCTTTTTTTTTTTACTTGCTCTTTATCTGTTTTTTAGTACATTATAGTTATAGGTTGGTAAACAATAGTGTAGTTAACATCCATAAGCTACAAGTTTTCTTGGCTAATCCCCCAGAGTGGGCATCTGCCAGGGTCGACAAGCCACAAACATAAGCTACATTCAGATGATGTTAGTAGACTGTAAACGCCCTTCCCTACAGGCTTAGCTGGGTAAACAAAGTGCGAAAAATGAGAGGACGCAGGAACACATCACACTGGACGAGCGCAGAACTTGCAACTGACATCTTTATTGCACCAACCGCTCGTTTTTACAGTGCACTGAACCCCGCGCACAATACGGATCAAAACCGCCACATCAAAAACATCAGGTAGCATTCAGCATGTGTTCCTACGTCTTTTTTGTGCAGTCTTTCCCTAGCTAAGCCAACTCGCCCAAATAGAAGTCTTCCCTCGGTTTCAGGACTTCGCACCCCTAGTGCCTCAAAGAAATCTCTCTCAAACTAACTAATCAGGAGCAACATCGGACTGAATTACACGAATGTGCTGCCTTTATCTTGGCAGCACAGGCAGTACTCTTTTATAAGGAAGTGCTTGGAACCTTCAAAAGTACTTTGTCATGCAGTGCAATTTCTTGCAAGGGTAGCAAGCATGCAGATGCTCCCAGTAGAGCAAAAATGTAAGAAAGCATTCGTTAGATAGGTCACTTTATTGTACACAATGGCAGTCATCATGAGGTGATGCTGCTGCAACTACTGAGGCTTAGAAACAGGGTCTCTTGCCAACATTTGATAGGAATATCTGGGGTTTTACGTCCCGAAGTAAAGTAGCAAATTGGGCTAGTTGGAGCATACTCAGCACGATCAGCGCACAAAAAGGACAAAAAAAAACAAAAAAAACACAGGCAAGTGCATCGTGCACTTTCTTGTGCTTTTGTCCTTTTGTGCGCTGATTAAAACGAGTGCACTGACATTCGCATAGTACGCAGAGCTCTAACATTCCGGGTCCATATTCCTTTTAACAGTTTGTAAAGTCTCTGCACATGAAACAAAGTACTCTCGTAAAAGGCTGTAAAAATCCATAAAAGGTGGTTTAAACGTGTCATTGCATAAAGCTAAAAATCAAGAAAAACATGGAGCATTAGAACTAATGAACATTATGATTATGTACAGATGCCGTGTGCTGTTGTCCTCCATTAAAATGATTAAGAGGGAATTTACTATGAAATTAAGCTTGAATGTAAGCGACTGTAAGGAGATGATGATGATGATCAATGGCTGCTGCCGGCTGGCTTCTGCAGCAGGTAGCTGTTGTAGGGCAGAACCCGATGTTCAGAGATGCAATCTGAAAATCAAAGCAGAAAGTTCACAGAAACATCCCTTTAAATTCGTGCTACGTTTGTCACTATGGTGAAAGTTAAAAACCTTTATGGTTTTTCGCCCCAAAAGTTTTGAGACTCATCCAAAAAGATAACATTGATTGGGCTACAAGTTTTGTTTAGTGCGAAAGTCAGTAATATCATTATCATGCTGGTACTTCAATAATGGGCATAGAAATCCTGCACTGCTAATTAAATTGTGTCCAGACTACGTGTGGTGCCTGCAGAAATGTGCTCTGACAAGCTGTCTCGGTGCTGTGCCAATAATGCTGTTACTACCAGTAAATAGTGATGCACACAATGACTAGGCAAATGAAGCTGTCATAATTGTCACCAATGCAGTTTTCGAAACGTGCCATGCTGTCTATATAAGACCAGAAGGCTCGATTTTCCCCTCAGATCTTTACTAAGCTCTGAATTCTTTCCCCTAATTTGTACAGATTGAGGAGTTTCACATGGAGTCGAGACAAAACTGGCCTAATGAGTTGCTTGACCTCTACGACACAGTCAGAGTGACAGAGTGTTCGCAAGATTTCAAAGCAACAGGACAGGAATGCCAGAGTTGCGTACCGAAGAGCCATCGCTCGGAGATGTGTGTGACTTGGGAGAGCCACTGACTGCGTTGCGGGTCGCCCAGCGCTACCTGGCAGCGAAGGTATGACGAAGACACCTGCACAAATTCTTCTTTGTCACACAATGCAGTGCAGATCAGTGTGGTGCTGCAAATTGTTACTTAAAATGGGAGAATCTTCTAGCAGATAATGACCCTTTCTATATGAACTGATAAGAAAAGATATTCATGAAGTTGCATGAAAAAGTTGAATGAGAGACGTTTATTTGTGGTTTTGATGAAAATTTGTCTGCCCATTTTAAGCATGCAATTATTTCTGTAGTGCAGCATAGTGTTTTTAAAGCACCAACCATTTCATGTATTTCTTTGGGACCCAGAGCTTCCCCAAACTGAGAGAGTCACAATGTAAATGAGCATATCACAATAATCTAGAATCAGAACTATGTACCATAAAAAAATAGATGTACTTAACCAATTTGACAGTGATTGACTCCCAAAGGTTCAAAATATCATAACATTTGCCGACATAAATTCAGAATATTCATTCCTTTTACTATACGAATAAAAAAAACCTGCAGCCACTTTTAGTCCCCAACTTCTAATGTCAAAATTTAAGCGGACAGACATTTCGGAACAGACTCAGGTCCCTTTCTGTTCAGACAGCTCCGAAACTAGCGATTTTTCTTAGTGGTGTTCTCCTTTCCGCCATTCTTGATGCTGCGGTATTTTGTGGCCCATCAGGGGTGGCACATTGGTTTGGGAGCAGCCAGAAAGGCTTCTTCAAGCAAGTTTAGAGCACTTAGCGACAACATTCCGAGCATATGTAGCCCTGTTTCACAACACATGTGAAGCAACATTTGTCCAATGCTTTTTTTTCTTCAAACACTAAGCTAAATTGTACAATAACCTTATTATAGCTATGGCAATAGGGACACTTTCGACGGGTTTTGCCATCGCTGTTGCCACCATGTCCCATATAAAGTCAAAATCGATAACATGTGCCCAGTCCATCGCATTGTAGTAGTTCCACCCGTGGGTAAAAACATAAAGACAATCAGTTTCAATATAAACAATGAATGCAATAACTATAAATTGTATTGTTATACAAAGTAATGCTGGCAACTAACTCTCTTATATCTGATCTTGCGCAACTGTTTCTCGGTGCTAAGAGCACAGCACATACAATGATTTGCGAGTCATCTCATTAATACTTGCTGAGATAGAGCGTGCGCAAGTGATCGCGACTCAATTGTTGCAATCAAAGTTCACAGCTGCTGCTCAAGCGATCACTACCTTGATGAAACTATGACTGATTTTGGTGAAACTGAAAGCACAACGTTTCTGGCACGTTTTCACGTACAGGGCTTGATGGCTGTTGCATCTTGCGGCTGAATTCGAGCTATATGGACGCACTACGATGCTGATAAACAAGTTTGGCACAAAAGGGTGGTTAAGTGCAGGATGGCACAGATAACCAAGTTTAGCACAAAACAGCACAGCAATTTCAGATTAGTGCACATATAGACCTCGAAACCGCTCAACTGGGACCTTGCCGAGTATATGTGTGCACAGTCTGAAAACAGTGGAGAAAAATACCGCAGCAACAAGAGCAGCGATAGGAACAATGATGGAGAGGGGGACAGCACTAAGAAAAGTCGCTAGCTTCGGAGCCAAAGGGACCAAATTGGTCCCAAAAGGCCAAGCCAGTCTTTAGTTTTTCATTTTCACATTAGGAACTGTGGACTTAAGGTGGCTGGAGAGTGTATTATTCATATAAACTTTCACCCAGCCTGACAGATCTCTGTCAAATGTGTTCACCTTCTTGTTGGATTGCATACAGTTCTCATTAGATTATTCTGATATGCCGATTATCTTCAACCCGCTCAATGATCGCATGCTCATGATCCCAAAATGACATCATTAAGCTACATGTTATACTAAATAAAATTTGCCTGAATATTTGAAATGTGCACATACATACATATAAACTTATCATGTTTATTCAAAACCAATCAAAAATGTCTCTAAAAACACGGAACTTGCACCGAATCATGCAAGGTTGGAGCAGAACAGAGATAGTCGGCACTTTGCTGGTCCTGGCTTCATTACACACGTCCATTCACAAGCCAATGCACAAAGCACTCACGTAATCACATTTTAAATCATGAGTATTGTCTAGGTATCGAGTGTGCTTGATCAGGAATCGCTTAGCCTTCGCAGCACCATAAAATTTAATTACATTTATAAATACTGCTTTATTTATTATGGAACTCACTTTACTTATTCTGGAACTTTCTTAGACAGCACCACCTTTTCGGCAAGCTCTTTCCAAAAGTAAACATGGCGTCCGTGGCATAGGGACATGTGGAGGGTCACTGAGCGGCCGCGAACGTCCAAAAAATACACTTGTGGTGTGACAGTGAGACTTTACACTGAACAATCAAATTGTCTCTCCCTAAATGTTTTTCTAAACGCTTCAACGATGCAAGCAAGCGAAACCAAAATCGGCCGCAAGCTGCTGTGCTACTTGCGGAGCAACATGAATTTGCGAAAACCGCCTCCGCAGCCTTCGCTACACTGTTAAGGGGCTTCACAGCACAGTACGTATTGCTGTGAAGCACCACTATAGGAAAAACCTCGCGTATTATACGCACCTCCACTTTGCCACTAAAATGTTTTGGCTTTTGTGCGGGTTATACGCGCGAAAATACGGTATTGCATAAGCTTATTTAGTGTGTTATTAGTGATGTATCAGATTCGGCTAGCGATACTGTTGTTCTGAAAACAGGTTAAGGGGAGATGCGGGTCGAAAAATCGCGTTTTTTGCGAAAATTTCCACTTTTGAGATATTGCTGCTAAAATCACTTTTGATCATTCAACTATCATTTCCCCAAAGGTCATAGCTGAATTCAAATGAGAAAGTGGTAAAAAATCGATCTGCGCTAGTGAAAGTAGCTGCCGAAGTCGCGAATTCACGCATCCGACGGCTATTTTTGAAAATCCGCCACTCGGCAACACGATGACGTCCGCCATCGGGGTTTGTTCGGTGGTGTAGATCAAGGCTCCTTCTAGTGTACAGGCGTCCCCCTAGTTTCGTATTTTAGTGAGGAATTTCACAAAACAGTCGTTTCCAAGTCGGTTTGCAGCCAAGCTGCAGCCGCTTCGCGCATCTCTACCGGTCACATGGTACGCTACCGAGGCCGCCATTGGCTACATCTGATCGGCCTCGCTCGCTGAGCGCTTGCGACGATCGGCACTTGCCGTGCGTTTCTATGTTTTTCCGAGTTCACCATGGATAACTCGAAGAAGCGAGACTTCCGAGCACGAAAGTTTGCAAGCAAGAACAAGTACCAAGGGCGTCGACGTAAACCGAAGCGCAAAGCAGCGGTAGAAGAATGCGAGCCGCGGGCCACTAGGCCTAATCAAGGCAGCGGGGATACGGCGGCTTGCGGGAACTTTGACGAAATCGACGCCGCGATCAAGTTCATCAGCGCATCAGAAAAAAAGATTGAACAGTTCGAAAGCGAAAGAACGATGAGTGTTTGTGGCTCTGTGAGCGGAGTATTTTGTGACATCGGCGCACTGACATCGATGGTAAGCCGTGCTGTTTGTCCAACATGCCACACCGCTGGACTCGTCGTTCGCGACACCGCAAGTAAACGTAAGGGCCTCTCTTCGTTCCTCGAGCTGCACTGTGATAACAGTGAGTGTCCTGAGTCAGTGGTTTCTGCCGCGCATAGTTCGCGGCGTGTTCTGCCGGAAAGACAGCCCACCGATGCCGGTGATGACTGGAGCTACCGAAGCGGCAGCTCGCGCGACAGCTTCGCTGTCAATGTGAAGGTAGTTGTGGCTGCGCGTGCAATAGGCATTGGGCATGAACAGCTGTCGCGTTTTTGCGCTATTCTTGGACTGCCAATACCTATGCATCATAAGACTTTTATTGCAATCGGCAAAAAAGTTCATGCTGCAGCTACCAAAGCTGTGCAAGAAAACATGGCGAAAGCGCGGATGATAACTAAAGAGAAAGTGGATGGGGCTGATGTTGCTGTCATGTATGATGGCACATGGCAAAAAAGAGGGCACAAGAGCCACAATGGCATCGGCACTGCTGTGTCTGTGGACACTGGTTTGTGCCTAGATTTTGAAGTGCTATCGAATTACTGCCTTGCCTGTAGCCGGCACCAGGACTTGGGTGATGAGGAAGAAATATGGCAAGCATTCCACACACCTGTCTGCGAAAAAAATACAGAGTGCTCCTCTCATGCCATGGAGACTGAGGCAGCTTTGCGCATATGGGGCAGGACATCCTCATACACAACACCATTGCACTTCACCAAGTTCCTCAGTGATGGGGACAGCAAAGCTTATACCGCTGTCGCTGAGGCCAAGGTATATGGTGAAGCTGTTGTGGACAAGGAGGAGTGCACAAACCATGTGGCCAAGCGTCTAGGCACTGCACTTCGGAAACTGCCAACAAGACTTCCACGAGGGGAAAAGCTGACAGACGGCACAATTCAGAAGCTGCAGAACTATTACCGTATTGCAATCACAAACAACAGAGGTGATATTCTGAAAATGCATCGTGCCATCTGGGCCTCATATTTCCATTCATCATCGAGCAACACAGCAGGCAGCCACCGATACTGTCCAGAAGGGGCGACTTCCTGGTGCAAGCATAGGCGAGCTGAAGCGCTTGGGGAGGCCCCACCCGACCACACACCAATATTGACCAAGGCTCAAGGATTGGCTGTGCTTCCCATTTACAAGCGGCTCACAGATGAAAAGTTGCTGGTGCGTTGTGTCCAAGGGAAGACCCAAAACGCTGCAGAATCTTTGAACAGCAAAATCTGGTTGTTGTGTCCGAAGACTAAGTTTGCCTCCCGGACAACAGTGGAAACTGCAGCTGCTATGGCCGTGTTGTGGTTCAATAAAGGACATTCAAGCTTTGAACACGTGCTAGAGGAGCTTGGTGTAGTCCCACCAGATCAACTGATCACCCTGGGCCGATCCCGCGACCAGAGGAGAATCAAAAGAATGTCTGCGTGTGAAACAGCCAAGGCAAGGGCCCATCGGCGGAACGTGGCAAAGAAAGCGCGCCTTGATGACTCCCTTCTCAAGCGGCGAGAAGGATCCACATATGGAGCAGGACAATTTTAGGTGCTCTAGCTGTGTCCCTTCTATGATATCACCAAGTTTTGTGCAAATCGCACTGTGTAATCATGAGTAAACATATTTACAACTTTCAAACGCATTTTTCTCGATTTCCATTTTGAGGTAATTCTCTCATCTTGTGCACAATCTTTTTTAGGCATAAAATAGTCCTATCTTGATGAAATTTTGCACAGAGCTTAATCAGCCACTCTAGAATACAAGTATCTACTTTAGGTTGCATTATACATCACAGATTTTTTGTTACACAACTTGATACACTGATAGAGAGATGTAAAATATGCATTTAGTACTTCTAATTTTTTTTTTAATGTAGCAAATAAATTTTCTGTTTGAGGTACTTTTCTGTATTGTACTGCTCAAGTGCAGCAAAATGAGCCATTTTGCAATTCTGTGTGAAAATTTTTAGTAAGCTTTATTATGTGCACAAAAAACACTATATTTTGATATCAAAGTTGTAGTAACTCCGGAACTACTATAGCTATCAAACAAATAATTGCAGTTATGAAATCAGCACTGCAAGCTTTACTAACACCTAAAATTTCAAGGAGCTGGGTTATGAAATAAAAAAAAACCTTTTTCGAGTAGCATCTCCCCTTAATAAATGTCCACGCGCTGGTCTGCTCAACCGTGTCTACTATGTCTGTGTGTTCCAAAAGTGGCAATCCCTCAGGCTCCACATGCTGCACTACTCAACTTGCACTCAAATGCACTATGCATAGCTAACACTCAGGCTTCCCACTTTCCCAAACCCCTTAAGTACCTCTGCGCCTAGAAGCAGTAACAGGTCACGGACGCGGTCAGGTGGGGGTGCTGTGGCTGGCCCAATGTAGAAAGGACCTTGACCGTCCAGCAGTGGAGCATCTGCCACCTCACACCCCAACAATTTTCTTTTCTTCCCAGTGGCCAACCTGGGACGGCTAAAGGCAAAGGCACCTTCTTCCAGCCAGCGACCACACTCTAGGGACTGGTAAGCCTGTAGCAAGACACATAGGTATATATTGCCATGCCCACTTCTTACTTTGCTTTTATGCAGTAGAGTTTCACACACAAAGCTGTTAGCAATGTTCGGCACAGATCATGCCACAATGTTCGTGAAGCTTCTCAATGTGCGAGATCATTACGTTAAGATTGCATGCAGGACGCAAGTAGTCAAGTGCAGGGGTTGGCAACCTTTTCAGCCGAAGGGCCCAAGTTTTGTGAAGCCGGCATGATGGGGACTGCATAGCGCCCCTGTGGGGTCAAAGGAAGCAAGAAAGGTTAAGAGATGGTGTTTTCGCATTGTGCCGAGAGCTGCATAATACTGCCATCTGACCCGCGGGCCACAGGTTGCCGACCCCCTAGTGCTTCCGAGAGCTTATGTAGCCACTAGTAGTAACGCTGGATTAAATAGCACAATCATAAAAGCAAATACACTTTACAGATTGTCAATTTATTCAACGGCCAACGACTGTTCACACTGATATCAGTTTACAGTGTGGATCACTTGCACGTTATCTTTTAATTTGCAGGCACAGGTTCAACCAAATAAGAAGTTAACTTTGAACAAGCCGACTGCCTCCATCGTCAATGTCATGACTACATGACAATATAGTAGCAAAGCTAAATGCTGAACGCAAGCAGCAAGTCGAGCTATAGAAAAAATTGTGAAAGTATTAGCGTAACTTGCTGCGAATCCAGGCCAAAGTGCATTTGGTCTCAAAATGAATTGCTAGATTAATTGAAAGCAAAAGCTAACTCAAACCTAATTTTAACAAAATTGCATCTTGCAAGAAAATAGGTTTGTTATATCCAGAAATTCGTTATAAAGGTTATTCTGAACACTGTATTTATTGCAAGACTATTCATTTACTTTGTTATACCTGATATTTTATTATACTCGTGTTGATTATATTGAGGTTCGAGTGTAGTTTGCTTCTGCTCAATCACTACAAGTGTCAAAAGCTGCCAAGAAAAGCTGCACAGTATGTACTAAGAAGAATCAGAGAGACAATGTGGGTGTGTGGTTTACTAAGAAGAGCATTGATTCATAGGAGGAAACTGCACATAATCTAAGATGTGTATTAAAAAAGGAATCCACTATCACCAATGAGACAGGTTTCACATAACCATATATTTATTTTTTTCTTTTTCGGGGATCCTCAACCATTTTTCGAAAGTAATCACTGAATGACATGAGTAAAGGTGTTGCCCCGCACATGGTACCCAAAAAAATTGTTCAAGTCTGTCAAGTATAAGCAGCGTTATAGATATTTGTCACACACTTAGAAGGCTTTTTTCTCTTTCGCCTCAAATTCGCTGAACATACACACAGAAGGGCATGAAGACAAGTCAGTGCAGCTCATGAAACACAAGGCACTTTCTCTGACAGGGACGCTAGTGTTACGAGTGCATAGCACGCTATAATGCCCAGTATCCCAGAACCCAGATAGGCATTCTTCCACAGTCTTCTGGAATCTTACAACCTGACCGGCTCATTCTTCCATGCTGTCGATGGGCTCATTTCACTTTTTCCGTGCCTTTTCTGCGTCTCGTCATTATTTGCGCTCAGAGTTACTGGGTCTTTTCTTTGTCCACCTTTGTCATTCCTAGCAACGTACAACAACGTAACTCCACTCGTACTTTACACATTCGAAAAATTTTCATGCCAATTGACTAGTGGGGCAAAAAACTGATGAGCTCATTCAGTGATTACTTTAGAAAGTGTGCCAGAGCTCCTTTGAAGCTGCTATTGATTGCACTGAATTTCAAGCAGAGATTCAAATGAAGTATACAATTATGACCTGGAATCTGCAGGTTTGTAGGCACTTACCCAACGAACAGGCAGAAGCCAGCAGTTGCCTCTTGCTAAGGCAAACAGCACATGCAGAGTCCGTCGTGGCTTTCCAGCTACGCTGCCACATATCACATGTGTTGTGCGATCAGTAACCTCTGCTTCGATGGTGAATCCACCCACCGCCTTGACTATGGCACCGATAGCATCGCGGTCAACTTGTTCAAGTCCTGTCAGGACAATGCTCGGGCCTTCCAACCAAGAGGCCCTGCTCAGGGCACGAGCCCTTGCTCGGCACTGCAATTTGGGCAACATGAGTTTCAGAGATTGCATCAATACAGTAAACCAGTCTCTGCGTTGGAGAAAAAGCCCTGAGTACTTCGCGAACCAACGAACTGGATGAAAAGCAACCTCAAGAAACAGAAAAGGTAGCAGTGATGCCATATATACCACCAATGACAAATGAAACACAAACAAGAAATGCCCAAGTCAAATAGGTTCCGCAAGTGATAACACCAGAATCTTATCTCGTCTCTAACTGCTAATAATGTGGTTACCAAAGATATATAGCTTAGACCCAATAGTAGTAAGCTCTCCAAGCCGAAGTCACACTCACAGTTGATTCCACTGGCAGATTTGGAGCAGTTTTTGTAGCACTTTAACTGCTCCATGGGAAGCAAGGTTTCCGATATCAGATAGAGAGTGCTCCCTATATTAGCAGATCTGGAGCAGCTCCACTGACTGAATTTCACTGCACGAAGCAGCTCTCTGTACTTTGCAAAAAGCTGGTAAATTTGACCGAAAGTCACATGCACCCTACGTGTGCGCAGAGCATGGTGTACCACATGACTAATGGAATGCGCTGCCCGAGTTCAACAGTTTTCTCCACACATACCCATCAAGGCGAAAATGACACGAAACGCCAGGAATGCCGGGTGCTTTCGAAAGCAGATGTACGCTAGCATCCCCTACCATTTGCTCTGGCAGGAGCGCCAGTGTTCCAGTTTGAAGATTTCCTTCGACTGCCCTCCACTGGAGTGGAGTGCTTCAGTGTAGAGTTCGTCAGTCACGCTCCAAATCTGCCGATGGAATTCATAATCAAAGTACCGGCTGAAATGAAAACAAAGTGAACATTAAAGGGCCCGTAAACCACCTCGGATATTTTTTCAAACATTTCAAGTAAATGCACGCAATGTGTGGAAATAGCTGCAGTGATCAACGATTCTACACATGGCAGTGCTACAAATTCCAGAAAACAATCCCTCCTTCTTTCTGAGCCTTTCAGGCCTCCGAGTAATGCGCCGTTCCATATCTCTGATGTGCAGAGCCAAATATGCTATGATTGATTGAGCAAGAGCCTACGACTTCCGGTCAGTCTGCAAGCAGCTGTCCGTGCTGCTTGTTGTTCGTCGCATTAACCGTGTGCGTGCAACATGTACGGGGCATGGCGTGTCCTCGTACGCTCAGTGAGAGGGCAAAGAGCATACCAGTGGAGAGTATACCGGGAGAGAGTGAAAGGAGTGATCATTGCACTTTCGATAATCAAACGCATCTAACTCCACTACTACTGCAACTATTTCAAAAAACTCTCACAGCTCCGTGTTTGTCGTACACTCGTGCACAATTTCCCCTCCACAACTGAATTTCGACCTTTGTGTGGTTTACGGGTATTTTAATTTGTTTGAATTTAGATTGTCTATGACTGTGCATTCTATGCAGGCTTCTATGCAATCGCCTGCTTCACTTGGCATCAATATGTTTCATCACTTTGCAAGCTAGAGCGTGGACTTAGGATTCCTTTTGCTTTTTAAGTATACTACAAAAAAAAAAAACAGAGGAAAAAAAATGTTACAAACACAGCGCTAACTTACAACATGAGATTTATTTCCATAGGCATCACGGCAATAAATAGGTTGAAAACTAGCTCGCACAGAGCGCATTTTTGGGGACTATTTATTGGGCCTATTTATACTCGAACCTCATTATAAAAAAGTCGCATGTTATATGAAAATATAGCTTCGTTATATCCAGACATTCATTATAAAGGTAGATTTCTAACACTATAGCTATTGCAAGACTATTTTTCATTTACTTCGTTGTAACCGGTATTTCGTTATATTAAAACGGCACTCCGCTTCTCCCACCACGGGAGAACAGCAAAGGAGGGCAGACATGTCCGGGAACATGAGAACGGCAGAAAAGGCGGGCAAAAGCCCGCGCAAAAGAGGCAAAGGCAGCGGGCTTAGCTCAATTCCACAAGTTTGGATGTACTGGTGTGACCACCACCACTTGAACTAGAAATCACACTTGAATAGGTGGTGCAGAGTCCGTGTGTTATTTTGCCTCCGTTTTGTTTCTACAATATGTTAACATAGTGAAACTAACCACTTTTAGAATGCACACAGTGAGCTATTCAGGACACAAGTAGCAATAAGAATACTGAGGAGCACTTTGAAACGAATATTTCTGGCAAAAAAGATCCCTATGGAAAACACAGACCTTTCAATTTTTCATCACTCATCAAAGCTAAGTCACAATTGGGAAACCTCTAGAACGGTCCTAGGTCTGTCTAGCAGCTTTCCCCAATGGCGACCTGTAGGACGTGAGCAGCACCCGCTTCCTTGTTCAGCACAAAGCTCATGAAGTCAAGAAAGGTAAGTGGTCATAGTTCTTAACTCAAGTGTTGTACTTATTACAAATGAAAAGGAATTAGGGAAAAAGAAACAACTTGTACGTCGAGGACAGAATTCACAACCATCAGATGTGCTCGGATGCTCCAGTGGTCGAGCTCCGATGGCGATGATTTTCCCAACAGCTTTATAGGGTATTTTTGTACATGCAATCCTGGAAGTGCCACCCAACACCTCTCACGTCCATGTTTGCCAACGGGCGTCTAAAAGCAACCCGACTATGAAAAAAGCGGAATGGATCAGCGATAACTACATTACACGTAAAAACTACAGTCAGGGACGGATAAATCGGATAGCCGCGCGACACCGCTGATGGCCCCACAGAAATGATGTGTAAAAACGACCAATATTTCGGACAGCCGCCAGATCTGCAGCCATTATCCCCTTCGGTACATCCTCTATTTTTTTTCAGAGCCCGGGCAAAGGACTGGATTTAAATAGGAAGCTGCCGTCTGTTCTAGTGCGGCTTTCCCCACCAGGTGCGGCAACTGGAATTGTGCTGCCTGCAGATGCTGCCGCGTCGTCTCTTGCGCAAACTAATGCCGTGGCTGCATTTGAAGCTGCTATACGGTTTGGGTTTCGGCTGTATTCGCATTGTGTTAAGATGTAATGAAAACTTGTAAACCAGAATCGTGAAGCACTTGTTGTTCTGGACACCCAGCTCATTTCAAAGGCATGTGTCCTTCGCGACCACTTCATCGAGGCGCTCGCGCCATCTGCTAGGCCGATACCAAATAGCTCATGCCAGTAACCCACGGAAGATTGTTTTGTCATCGTGGCGTTCGCTTGACAGAGAGTTGCTTTTTTAACTATCTGAAAAGAGAAGCCTTTCCCAGGAGCTAATATTAAAAGCTTGGATGCCTAATGTTCCCCGATGTTTGCTACTCTCTAGCGGCATAATTATGCACAAGCCTGGAGTTCATGCACTAAATAGCTCAAAATGCCACTAGACTGCTTCCAGGGACATAGGTGATCATCTGTTCCCTTCGCAAAGCTTTTGATGGACCGGAAGACCATGGCCCTCCACCCTCTCACAGGCTTTCTGGACAGCCCAAAGTTGAACCGAGAGGCCATCGCTGTTTAGGGCCTCCTTCCAGTCCTCTTCTTTGTTAAACTCGGCGCCACTTAACGTAGAACATTGCTAGATTATGTGAGGAAATGAGCAATACACCTCTCCGCAGTCCGAACAATGCGGTTTTATGGTGGACGAGTAATGACTGAACCTGTCCCACGAAGGGAAATACTTAATTTGGAGCATCCTGAAAGCTGACAAATGCGATCGATTAGTTTAGGGTGAGGAAGTGGAAAAGCCCTCTGAGAGATATGATAATGGGTAATAACCTCATGGAAAGTGAGTAGCGAGTCCCTGTACTTTCTGGCGTCCCCGCCTGCGAATTCACCGGAACTGCCGTGGTGAGCGATACGTAGCGCACGGTCATAGGCAAACTCATTGGCGTTGGGGACATCAGGATGTACGTTGGCCCCCATGCGGACCGGAAACCATGTTATGGTGTGAAATCCGGCAGCTCTCTTGCAGGCGAAGATGGTCGCTGCCTCTCGCAAGATCAAACCCGAGGCGAAAGCCCTAGCTGCAGAACGCGAAGACATTTGGACAAGATTAATCTTTCATTGCTATGGCAATTTGCTCAGCCATCGTGACCGAAACCTGCCCAACTGAGGCGGAGCACAGCAGAGTGCCACTGTAATTGACTGAAACCACGGCAAAGCGTTCAGAACGGCCGTACTATGCTGCATCGACAAATGTCGAAAGATCCGAACTCTGTACAACAGTCTTCGATAAAGAATGTGCCCGAGCTATGTGGCGCCCTACATTGTATTGTGGGTGGACATTTCTAGGAAGTGGAGCCACCGCAGACATACCTCTGATCGAGAGTGGTAGAGTCACTCCACGCTGGTTACTTTTTTGTAGTACCACAGCCTATGGATTCCAGGGTGTACTTACCAGCCCGTGATGACAATAGTCGCATGATTTGATTGATTTGTGGTGTTTAAAGTCTCAAAACCACGATATGATTATGAGAGACGCCGTAGTGGAGAAATTTTGACCACCTGGAGTTCTTTAACATGCATCCAAATCTGATCACACGGGCCTGCTACATTGCCGTCTCCATCGGAAATGCAGCCGCCGCAGCCGGGGACGAATCGCATGACCTGAGCCATATGATGGGCCTTGATTACCTCCGCGAAGGAGCTGTGCATGCCCAGTTGAAGGAGCCTCTCTGTGCTTGTGTGCACAGGCAGGCCTAGAACTCTTCATGCTTTTGCGCACTAGTGTGTCAATTTTCGCCCCTTCTCTTTTGAACCAGATCAATGCCGAAGCAACATAATTCATTCGGCTCATGAGAAATGCATGATATCGAAGGAGATTGCCCTCGCTTAGTCCACCCCTGCGATTCGCGACCCTGAGTATGAGCCTAAGCATGTTCTGTGTCTTGGAGGTGATGCAGGCTATAGTGCATGAGTTGCATCCTTATATTTCAGGTGGAGCCCGAGAACCCTGATCGAGTCTATCCTGGGAATATCGTGCCCATACCGTGTGTGCATAATGCTATCGGAATCTGCTCTAATGGAGTCGCATTCCTCATA